AGATATGCAGCGTAGCGAGCTAGGCGGCCGAGCGTAGGCCAACAGCTGGGCAGGCATCAAAGCCTCTATAGCAGCCTAGCTAATCTGGGCTGTCATGACCAGTTTAAGCTATAATACAAGGTATGGCTAATGATACCAGGAATCCAGTGATTCCGGTATTAGTTAGGTAAACTTATGAAAATATTAGGAGAATAAGCGTTGCAATATTCTTATAATCAACTTTAAGGAATTTGAGTAAATTTATATATTAAAGAGAATTAAGTAGCTTACTCTATTAAACTAGTTGAGCTTTATATTATATTTATTTACTATTGATGAAAAAGTTTAATTTGTTTGCCTTATTATTTATAGTATTTACTAGATAGTAATAAACTTCTTAAAGCAGTATGTTTTTACGCTAAATAACGTTACTAAAGCTTAATTACTTGGGGATTACTTTCAGTTTCGAATTTGTAAAGAGATTTACACTCTTTAATAAAATATTTGGAATTATGAGGAAGCTTTTGAACTTAAATTTTAGTAGAGTATACTATTAGATACTGAACTTATTATAGTTCTTATTATTATAAGAGTATTTAATACACTCAATAATAGTATACTTTATAAGAGAATTTTCTCTGCTATAAACCTTTTAGAAAACCTCTATTGTAACTACTTATTAGCTCAGTGAATAAATATAGCTACTTTTGCTTTTATAAATAGTAAGAAACTTAAAAGCTTTTACTAAAGTTTTATTAGGTTTCTTTCCATATAAAAAATTTTTATTATTTGAAATCAAGGAGTAATTATCTGAGTATATAAAAGCTAACTGTGACGGCCTGGTCATCCGTCGCAACTATATAAAACCACTTAAGCGACTGAATTGCCAGCTTTGATTATTTGTATCCTTTTGCAAGGACATGTTCTGGTTAGTGTAATAGTCTGTCACCGCTGTGACACTAAGGAGGAGAATAATTAAAAGGAGCGGAAGTAGAGCAGGGAGAGCGGAGGCTAAAAACGAGGTTATTGCTACAAAAAGTAGATTAATATATATATATATATAAATAGCATAAATTCTTAAAACGTAATAAAATTGAATACTTGATAACTACTAGAAATTATTAGAAACGTAGTAAAACTGAGTGCCAGTAATAATAATAATCTTCAGTATTTTAAATACTTTTAATAGTCTCTAGAGCTTCCTGTCTGGGCATCAGACCACCAGAATTACCCAAAGATTGGTCATGTGTCTTGAAATTATAGGCAGAAAGGCTATTTTTGTATAAAATTCTTGGAAATTACTGAAATTTCTACTAACGAGAAATTCAAATGGACCAAGAATAAGAAGCTGAAGAGGGAAGGAATCCCAAAAGGGAAGGCTCGATGCCAGAGCTGGGTTTTATACCCAGACCACAGGCGACAACCAGTGACAGCCAAACCCGTGAATGGGATGACCCGATTGAACAGCACCCATGTGAATGGGAGCCTTGATGGCAGGCATGTGACAGCCCAGATGTTGCCAGCCGTCACAAGTGCGATGTCCCCAACTCCTCATCACCCAGTCCGGAAACCAAGCACACGGTGTCTTCTTGAAGAATCAGCATTCAATATGTCCGCGTTGCAATCTACTCAATAACGGAAACCAGATCCTTCTGCTACGAGCGGGAGCAGAGCATACCCGTGCCACGCCGCCCACTTCTCCTAAGTGGGTGCTCACCACTCATACGGCCACACCAGTACAACGGCCAAGTCAGGGTTAGAGGCGCTGTTTTGCAGGCCAAAACTCGACGTTTTCCAACAAGGTAATAAAAAGCGACCAAAAAAATTCCGTTAGATGCGCCGCAGTATACTGATTTTGCTCATTACTTTCTTTTTGTCTCAACTGGTTGATCCTGTGAGGTTTCACTATTCTGGTGTTTTGCCGGCATCGGACCTTTAACCCTGGTAGCCCTTTCACTGGTGTGGCCGTTGCAGTGGTAAGCACCCACTTAGGAGAAGTGGGCAGCGTGGCACGGGTAGGAGTCCGGTTTGTCGCAAACTTATTCCTTGGCGAGAAGGGACCACTGTTCAGGTTAGGGTTATACACGCCCCAGACTGAGAAGCTCCTTAACCCACAACCTGGTCAAAGCTCCTCAACCCGCCGATCAGATGCGGAGAATTGGAGACTTGCCAACCCCCCCGAGCCACCGACCCCGGCCTCTTCGTCCCGGTTCCTGAACAAGTGCCCTCCGTAACATTTTGAGAAATGCGCCCGGGGTACCATTGAGCCGACTGGCTCCATTACCTCTCTTATCAGTTTATCGTCTTATTCTAGCCGGCCCGCGTTGCACGAGATCATAGGAGACCATTGAACCATGCGCGCAACACAGTCCCTCCCGTTCAAGAGCTTCTGGAACCGGAGTCTTGACGAGCTCTCGCGGTTGACCAACATCGGTACGAGAAACTCCGATACCCATCCCCCAATTCAAGCTCGTCTTATGCGCCACAGTTGAACACCGAACCACCGTTGTTTACGCAATGCTGACTGATTGGGTTGGTGTTGCGAACAGTTGTCAAATCCGAGAACATCAAAGGCGCCTCGGGGCCACGCGAGATCCACAACTTTCAGACGCCCGAGTCAGTCGTAGACTGCAAGCTCCTCTCCGACGCCGATGTGGGCGGTGCCTCGACCGCCCATCTCGACTGGGTTCCCCCGGCCAACTATATCCCCACTCCCGGTGGCGACGAGTCCCGAAAACCGTACACCCCGATCCCCGGCAGCTATGCGCGCTTCCACGGCACCATCTCCTTAGAGCTGCCGACAGACCGGCGGGAGATTTCGCGGACAGGCTACGCCGGCTTCCGGACGTTGGACCGCCCTCCCACCATCTTCGGCCGCGGCGTGTGGGACATCGACCCGTATGCCTACCTCGCGATGCGCGTCAAGACGGACGCGCGCAGTTACTTTGTCAACGTGCGGACCGAGTCGGTCGTGCCGCTTGACTTGCACCAGCACCGCCTGTTCGTCAAGAAGCCGGGGCAATGGCAGACGGTGTTGATCAAGTGGAACGATTTCGTGCGCACCAACCACGGCAAGGTCATCGAGCCGCAGACGGGAATGCTAAGGCAGAAGGTTCTCTCGATCGGGTTCTCAACTACGGACAGGAAGCCGGGCCCGTACGAGCTCTGCGTGGAGAGGTTATGGGCGACTAATGACTTTGAGGAGGCGGGAGTTGTGGAAGCGGATGTCGAGGAGACTCAGCTTAAGAATAAGCATGGCGAGAAGGTCAAGGTTACGTGGGGACCTTTGGAGCAGGAATGATAGGAAATAAGGGGGCCGTATGTCTACCTTTTCATCAGTAGCGAGGTGGATTTGGGCCGTTTAGCTACAAAAGGCCCGAAAGGTCTTACATGGTGCTGTATGCCTTTTGATCAACCGGGAGCGATGAGAGAGGTTATCACAACAGAACCGCAATATTTGGGGGTCTGACGAAGACAACGCGGGTAGATCGACGGATGGAGGGTATGGTTTGCCCTAGAAGCACCTGAGAGGCTGTGATATAGTCAATGGATTTGTAATTCTACATGATAGACTGTGTTATAGGATACGAATGGCATTCATGCCAGTTACATGTCTGAAATCGAACCTTTGCAATGAAGTGATCAGCATGACATGACGAAACTTGCATATCAGGCTTTGTGGAATCCTACCCTTTTGGGTTTATTCGTATGAACTATTAGATGGATGGACACGGTGAACGAGATTTGAACCGGTATTGAACCCAATCTCTTTACTGCCTACCAACATGCATCACTTCTGGAACATCTACCGCCAACAAAAGAGGAAATCAAACATACGAGTTGAGGAAGCGATACAGGGAATTTAGAAACTAGGTTCCGTAACAGCCCTTGGACGAACCTTTATTGGCATCAACAAGACCTACTGCAGGCCAGCATACTTGGTGAGAACTTCCAGAACAGCAATGCTGGTCATTGATCTGTACGAACAAGCGAGAGGGTCTAACGCCCCTGAGAAGCAAGATGAAATCACATGTAACGAGAAAGGCTATAAGGGAAACCAACTAAAACATATCATTGAACCCTCAATGTGTTGTGCTGACTGTGATATCATGCCTGCTGTTGTAACCATAAAAACAAATCTCATTGACGACCGGTATAAATCAACGCATTTCAGCAGCCTGAACACCCTTGTAATGCGTGACTCCCTTTCGACTGCCCATCCGAATAATACAAAGAACGCCCTTCACAACCGTTAAACACCATGCCTCCCAGTTTCCTCTCATATCTCTTGGTAATCGACGCTCGAAGTGGATGTTGTGCTTCTAGTTATCTCCCTTGCCTTTATCCCATTCCCTTTTCTCCCCAGCCTTGGTCCATGTAACGTCCTCAATATCCTTCTCCCCGTTAGGCCCAGTCTTCTCCCATTTTTTTATGTCCTCTTCCGAGAAACCAGCAGCCCGAAGTCTGTCGGCGCCCTGCTTGAGCCACTTTTGCCGGTCACGGAAGGATTCCACCATGTCATCCCAATCGTCAGTCTTGGAGACCTTGAGGTCAGTCTCATCCAGCTGCATGTCTTCGCTTGGATCGTAATCGCTCGCAAATCTTCCGTCCATGGCGGCCCCTCCCCTTCCTGCTCCTCTTCCACGAGTGCGAACAGGTGGAGGGTAGGCGTCAGCAGGCGGGGGTGCTGCTGGCCCAATGAGGTCCTCAAGCGGATCAGACTCTTCGTTTTCGGATACCTCCTTTTCAGCCAGCCGGCCATGTCGCCTGTGGGTTGATGACTTTTCTGGTATTATGTCGCGGTCCTTGCGGGAACGGCTCTCCTTTTCGGACCTGCTGCTTCGGGACTTATGCGACGAGCGGCTGTGCTTCCCCCCTTCTTGGTCGCTGCTGAGCGGGGAACGAGACCGATGTCGGTGTCTGCGCTCGCGGTGTCGTGGAGAGCGCGACCTGGATCTGTCTCTGTGCCGCCGTTCGTTGCGAGAGGACCTCTCTTCGTCTCTATGATGTCGGTGGTGGTGATGGTGGCGTCTTTCTCGCGATGCATCTTTTGTATCCTCGTTGTCCGAACGTCGGCTCTCGCTTCGCTTATGCTTTTCCTTGTCGCCAGTTTTACTGTCCTTGCGGTCTCTGGATGACGCTCTGACGCTCGACTGCACGTCTTCCTCAGCCCCACGTCTTTTCTTTTGCCCGGAAAGTAACGAGGAGATGGCGCCTAACTGCCGTCGTCGTATGTCCTGTAGCGAAGGGTTGGTTTTAAGTCGCTTCTTCTCTTCGGCTTCTTCTAAGCCGGACAAGCGCGCCTGCGCCTCGGCGGCTTCTCTGGCCTTGATTGCGGCATTGTGGGAGTCGGTTTCGCGAATAATACGAGTCAAGAAGTTGGTGTTTGGCTTTGCCTTGTTCGCAGGTCTTTGGTGAAGGGAAGTCAGTCATGAATGGTTCAACTCCCGGTGTCGCGGCGATTCAAACGTACTTTGTCGACGTCGATCTGAAAGCTTCAAGGCCCATGGAGGAATACTTTATCGAGGCCTCGCTCGCTTCCTTGGCAAGGAGCTCGGCGACATAATCATCTGTGATTATGGTGTCGTTGGCCATGGCAAAGAATGGTGCTTTTTAGACAATTGGAATTTCAGCAATTGCCCGCAAATTGCCAAAGGGGTAGAGAAAGAGATGATGGGCAATTAAAGGTTTTCATGAAAGAAAAGGGAAGTTTTGCTGACATCCATGCTGGATGACACTGACTGGCGAGGCGGGCTGAGTTCGACAACCGAGACGGATCCAACAGTGACGATGCAGGCAAGGGGCGCGGCAGGCATCCCAGAAGCGAGAAGGCACAAGGTTACAATAAGGTGGGGCTCGCGGCGCTTATCGATTGCAGTAGGAGTGGAAACGGGCTCTTGGCTACCAGGGAGGCTTGCCTTATCGATAAAGCTGGAAACGCTCGCCTTCCCCCGCGACCGACGCATCTCAAGGTTGAGGGGTTCGCTGCCCAGCACAAAGGCCACTGGAGCGAGACCATAATAGACTAAATTGCAGGTCAAGCCTGAAAATTTTGCTAATTGTATCTGATGGTCCGGATAAAGGTCAGATGGGTTAAGTTTGACCGTCGTTGACCGTGGTGATTCACGATGCGCCGGATGGCAAGCACGCCCGGACGCCTTCGGGGTCGTGTCGAAGGAAGGAAGGAGGTATTGACGTAGTTGCCTCTCCCTGGACCCTGGACGAGCGCCGTTTGAAAGGAAATGACTGAGCTTGCCCGGTCCGCATTTGTGATACCCGTATCGGAAGGAAACACTATTTCCCTCCGTGAACTCGAGACTGGTAATTTCTCTTTCAAATCTAGCAAAATAAGCAATGGTCTACATAGAGGTAACAGATACGGAAAAGGTTCACCGGTTCGAGGATTGGCCGTGCAGCCATTTCCATTTCTCCCCCACAGCGGCCGGATAGGTTCCGAATTTTTAGTGCATGGGGGCCGCTAGAATTCGATTTAGGTCAGCCCTAGCACCGCATGCGCCTCCACTGATCGACGGGACTTACTGACCCACTGCAGCGTCACGGCCCGACCACACCTTGATTCATCGCCCAGATTTCACACTCCATCCCTTCCCCTCCAACGCTTGTGGAATCCATCCCGCTTCCACCTACACCTCGGTCAACCCAGCAGCTGTGTACCTCAATTTTGGTTCGCGGTAACCCAAATTCGGCCTCTGCTGAGCTTCTGGGCTCACAACCTCGTGCAACACAACGATGGACGGCCACGGTCTACGACGAAGAGCGGTCGACTTGCTCATTGATGACCTGGGACGAGTTTGTTACGACCTGCGCCGCTACCTTGACGAAGGAGAAACCCCGATCAGAAAAGTCAAACCGCCTGATGTTAAAGCGGCCCGAGACCTATTCGAACAGATCATTACTCGGATCGGCCATGTGTCAACCAAGCTGGCTGATGAGCAGTTCCTGTCCTCGGGCATCCTTCCAGAGCCATTGGCCAATGGTCCTCACACTCCCATATCCAACGTCGACGTCTCAACCATAGTCCATCATCAGCAACAGTTTGTTCCCACCGAGAGTGTTGAACCAAATCAACCGCCTCAACAAGTGCAGTTAGAGCGAGAACCAGTACAACAACAAGTCCAGCCACAGCCCGAACAATCAGCACAACAACGAGAGCAGCCACAAGCTCAGCAGGAAGTCCACCTACAACCCAAGCTACTGCCCCAGCAACATGGTCAGCAACACGACGTCTGGCAGCATTACCAACAACATGCCCAACAAAGCCAGTTACAAGGTCAGCAACGAGACCAGCTACAGAGTCGGCATGAAGTCCAGCTACTACCCAAGCTACAGCCCAGACAACGTGATCACGCAACAAATCGAACAGCGGCCTGTACAAGTTCACAGCTACTACCCAAGCTACAGCCCCAGCAACGTGATCAGCAACAAATCGAACAGGCGGCCCTGTTACAAGTTCAGCAAGAAAACCAGCTACAACCACAACAACCAGTTCAACAACAGGTGCAGCTCCTCCTCCAACAGCGAGACCAGCATCAGGGTCAGCAAGAAGTCCAGCTACAACCCCAACAACCATTACAGCAATACAACCAGCTTCCAGACGATCTAGAAGACTGGTTGCAAGGCCGACAAGAACCGCAACAAGCAGTATCACAACAAGAGCAGCTAGATGGTCAACGGCGAATCCTGCCACAAAACCAGCAACAAGGTCAGCAACAAGATCAGCAACAAGATCAGCAACGAGCCCAGCTACAGAGCCAAGAGAAAGCACATCTACAGCACCAACAACGAGACCAGCAGCATGGGAAGCAAATTCAACAAGACCAACAAAACCAGTTTCAATACCAGCAACAAGAGAACCAGCACACAGAAGCTGTCCTTGAAGCTGCCCCAGAATGTGCTCCAGAAGCCGTCCAGGAAGCTGTCCCAGAAACAGTCCCGGAAACAGTCGCGGATGCTGGAGCTGGTGCAGTAGATAGAGAAGCAAGCTCACAGCCTGAACCGCCAGCACAGGACGAGATACACGTCGTTGGGCCGGGCCCTCGAGCCGCTTCACCGACCCCCACTATACACAATATCCCTACGAACTCGTCAACAAGTTGCGATACTGATCATAATGTTGAAGTACGGCCCGAAGACCCAGCTCAGCTTCCGCCTCCCAAGCTGCTTCCCCTTCCCAAGGACAGCGCGCCTCTCTTCGACTGCACCTACCAGGACGTCCATGTCCTCAACGAGGAGCTGTTTGAGCAATGCTCGCTTCATCCTGATGTGCAGGACAGAGGCTATTTCAAACTTCAGGTCAGGGATCTTCCGCCTCTTCAAGTTGGTAAAATGGCCAAACCAGATCAGACCCATGCGACCTCCTTTGTCTATAAGAAAGACAATGTAGGCCTCGTCAAGGTTGATACTGGAAAAAGGCCAAGAATGAAATGGCCCGAATTTCCTCTCACACCGACCGAGAAGCAGAATTGGTCGCTAAGAGAGCAGAAGCATCTCTGGAACTCCACGGCCGCACACCCGCCGAGTGGAGCCCAACCGTACATTATCGGCAACCCGCTATTCGATGATGTCGAGCTATCACCGGGAGATAAGCTGAGACGCAGAGGCCAGACAGTCCTGGAAGGCATAAATACGCAGTATATGTACTTCAACCTCAAAGCCAAGACAATCACGGTCATGCATCGAGAGGATGCCCACGTTCGGTCAGAGAATTTGTTACGAGACGGTGAAAACAAGTTTTGGTGCTTTGTCAAGCCGAGCTCCGCTGCGAAGCTGGAGGAACGCATGCGCCACGACTTCCCTGAAATGCGCAGCTGTTCCCAAGCCGTCCGTCACCTAAGCCGCCATATCCCCCCTGCCAAGTTGGACGAGTGGGGGGTTGAGTATACACTTGACTATTGCGTCCCTGGCCAGGCCGTGGTCACAGAGCCGGGTACATACCATCAAGTTCTCAATCTTGGCCCAAATTATGCGATAGCGATCAATGTCGAATATGAATCATCACCCGACGATCCGCCTAATTATACATACTGCGATGAAGCCTGCCCCGACCAGTGTGCAATTTCCGCCGAAGACTTTCGCATTAATCCAAATGCGACGGCCATGGACAGACTGGCACTCCCAGCCAAGACGAAGCCAATGGCAATGATGGCACAGCCTAAGAAATCGGGGGCCGTCTCTCCGGGGCGTCATTTGTTGACTAACAGCATACCAACGGACTCTGCACCGGCATCCGATCAGCAACGTGAAGAACAACACCCAGGCTCGGGACCTTTGCAGCAACAACTCGAAGACGCCGAAAATTATCACTATCGACAGCCGGAGTCAGCAGTACCACCTTCAATACCAAGCACAGTTTCGAACATATCGGAAGTCAATCTGTCTGTCATTGATTCGGGACGAGTTGAAGGTGGTCCGATGCAGGTCGTTTCCGAACCACAGCAGGTTATCACACAGTCAGAGGCACCTCCAGAAGTACAACAGGCAGTCGTGGAAGTACGGCACGTTGCTCAAAAACCAGAGGCACCCGTTGAAGTCCACCAGGCAACTCCAGAGCAAGAGAAGATTGCTCTTCTACCAGCGCAACCTCCTTCACAACCGGTTATGGTTGAACAACAAGAAGAACAAACCGCCATGGTGCGACCTGAGCCAGCGATCTTGAATTCCGTTCAGGCTCACGGTTTGGATCGTTCTGTTGCTTACCACCAACAAGAGCTTCCGATAATTCAAGCCACATTTCCCATGTTACAGCAATCAACATCTCCTCTTGTGGCAACTGGACCCGCGCCTCTGTTTAAGATACCAGATGTCCGATTCGTAGGACCGCCTGTTCTCCAACCATTCGACGGAGCTATTCGAACATTTGACCGGGAATTTGAAATGCAAACGTTCAACGCTCAGCAACCTGAATACGGAATCTTACAGACTCCGCCTGCACTGAAGCAAAGTAACTTCCCTGCCCAAACCATCGGATCTTACGTTCGCCCAAATTCCTCGGATAGTCCGTATATGTTGAATAATGCAGCGTCCTCCGCAGTTGGAATCAAGAGGCATGCAGAAATACAAATGCAGTCAGCGGTCAAGAGAACGAAGCCAGACAACGAAGAAACCTCTTTCGGGCACCTTGCCGATCTGCTCAGAACGGCCAAGAGCCCCCCCTGTTGAACAGGTATGGAGTAAAGCAGCCTTTTCGAGGTTAGCTGGCCTGGTCAGAGATTGGAGGGAGTATTCTAGATTGGTATCCATTCCCGGTGGCGGGTTCGACTTATTTGATCATATTGATAACGCAGAACAGATCAGCCAGGAGCTACATATCTTCCTCCGTCGATTTTTTAAGATGAAGCTCTCGGAGGGTGTTCATAGCACAGCTCAGGTCAACGGTCTGAAGGACGTCTCTGATCGCCCGGTATCATCTCATATCGATTGGGGCGAGCTTTCCCGCAAACTCAACTGGGACGTAGCTGGTAGGAACCAGCTTAACGACTACGTCCGCGAAGGAAAGTGTTGGCGAACCATTTGTGGGGAGTATGATGGGCTCCTGTGCCTCTTGCCCTCAGATGATAGGTTCTTGGAGCTGTCGATGTTCAAGGAACAGCTTGCTCATTTCCATGCTCAGCTGAGCACCAATGCTGTCCGAAGGATGTGTGCCATGGGTCAAATCCTGGAGAAGTCCATCTGGGAGTATTTGGAACTGCCAGAGTTCGCCTGGGAATCTGTGGATACATCAGAGCTGTCTCTTGATGATATTTCCCCGCTTCTTTCGCAGTTCAAGCTCATCAAGACGAATCAATATAACCGTCTTAAGTACAAGTGGGAGTTACAGCCACAGCCACTAGGTTGGACTGACCCGTGGCCATCGGATCCCATGTCTGTACTGAGGTCAGACAAGAAAGTATGCAGCCTCTGCAACAGCAGCAAGCGGATGACAACAGAGAAGTCATCCTGCAAGTGTCTGGTAAAGAGGCTCCCACAAATCCCGCGCATAACGGAAGACGGATCCAGAGGTCCAGGTGTACGTGCGGTTGGCTCCTTTAAGGCGGGTGAGTTTCTCGGCGAACTCGTCGGCGAGTTGCGACCACCGCAAAGATCAGGCGCTCCTGACAGCTCCAATCGTTATCACTCAAACATCCCCAACGGCCATACTCCGTTGGACAATCACGACAGCAAGAGACACAATTACGAGTGGACGATGGAGGTCCGCCGCCCTGATATTAACGATCAAGTGGTGGCAGAGATATACCCGCAGCAGATGGGGAACTGGGTTCGCAAGGTTCGTCACGATGGCGTCAACCCGTCGGCGATATACAATGTGATGAAGATCACCGGGAAATGGAGGGTGATGCTAGTGGCGCTGAGAGACATACGCGACGGTGAGGAAATCACAGCAAAGTATGGGCGAGGATACCGGAAGGAACAACCCTACGAGGTTGTTGAGGGTTTGCATTGAGATCTTTGCTTTGGTCCGCTGGCCCTCTTCCCTGTCATCACTGCCTTCATCTTTACTATTCGGGCGGCGTCTATTAGCCATTTGTTTTGTTCGCGAGTACTGTTCATGATGAACCACATTCTGAGGGAAAGATTCGGCGATATAGACGTTTCTAACGAGGCGAAGCATAGGTAAATGGGGACCTCATCCCAGATGATGGAGTTTTTGTTTTATTTTTGTTACGGACAGGAGGTTTGTTCCTCATTATGCATTGTTGTCGAGTATCATTTTCGGACGCGCGACTGTCACGAAGGCGGTCCGCTTCTGCGCATTGCTATTAAGCGAACAGGGCTTCGGCAAAAGCATGGGATAACATGGTACACATAACAGTACCTTGTAGGATGAGCATACACAAGGTCATTCATCACAGAGCATGGGTTGTTTTCTCCATCGGTTCTCTATATCATCAAGCCAACCTCTTAAGAGCAGGGCAACATCTGCATCAACAAGGTTAGGAAACGTTTCAAGATTCATTATAGCGTGGTTATTCTAATTATACAATCATTAATCGTTCGTAAACAAATCTCTCGTCTTTCGCAGCTTGTGAAATCAAAAGGTAAGGCCTTGAACAGTCTCTTGGCTGTCTCGAAATAACAAACTTGGGGTATGCAAATCTAAACTCCGTCCTGTGTGCATCTATTCATAGCCTCATAACCTCATAGCTTCAGCGTGCTCATCAACCGCTCCTCCAGGTATGCATCCCTTTTCCGCTGTTCCCATCTGAAAGTCTAACATCCATCTACTGGGAGTCAAATTGCTGATCATCATCGTGTCCACTCTATCTCCTTAGTCCACTGAGGCCATACACCGAGAGGCGGGTGAAAATATTATAGCAATTTATATTGCCCATATTCCCATCGGCTGATGTCTTACCAGCTCGCGAAAACCCATCTATGTGTGCCGCCGGGAAGTCCATCCTTTGGGCAACCCGCACAGGGTTTCGTGATTTATATCTTCCAGCTTCCATTGACAACAAGGACCGCCGGAGCCTTCTTGCGAGTAGTAATGGCCGGGGTAGTCGCGGTGTTGGTGGTGGTAGGAGTTCCCCATGCCGAAGCTCCTATGGGCGACGTAGTTCCAGCTTTTGCTACAGCAAGAGCAGGAGCAGGAGCAGATACGGTCCTAGTACCAGCCCCAGCACTTATTTTCTTTCCACTTCCCAGTTTCTTCGCTGCTGCCCCTATTCCCACTGTCTGTGATTGTTGTTGTGATGGACCCAAGTCACCTGCAGGCACCTCATCCACCACCGGTCTAGCATTCAACCGTTCTGACTGCCTCAGCACTTTGATAGCCCTTCTGGCAAGCTCATGCGAGATGAACGTTGCCAGAGCGGTGCCGGGGAAACACTCGAGTGTCTCGAGAGGGTCGCTGGGTTGGTTGCTGCAGGAAAGAAGAAGAGGGGCGAGCTCGGCTTTGATGCTGGAACCCATTTCTTCTTGGGTGCTCGGGGACAGAGGTCCTGCAGAAGGGAGAGGAGACGGGTTGGCTTTACCAGTGGGATCTAAAGGGTCTTCTCTCCATGTAATTGCAAGTTTCCGGAATCTTGATCCAGAAAGAGACATGGAGGGCTCGGAAGTTGAGCGGGTGGCTTTGGGTGTGTTGGGGGGTGTGGGCGGAAAATGTACGTCTGGTGCTGTTGCTTGAGGTGGTCCTTGTCCTTGGACTTGTGATCGTACGTGTTGTGCTTGTCCTGGTTCTCCTGGATAGGACTGCTCCGAGGGCGGGTTTGATGCTGTCGGGGTGATATACTCCTCTGCTACTTGCACCGCCGACCCAGAAGTGGTAGGATCAGCAGCCAACGCCTCCGGGTTGATAAAGAGACTTCGATCTCTGAAAAAGGGAGCTCTGACTAGGACGAGGCCGGCTCCAGTCTCGTCGTAACCGGGTTGTGGGCGAGGATCTCTCGTCCTCGGAAGAGTGATTCGCCCAGGACTCCTTGATTGGGATCATGAAGTTAGCAAGAGCATTGCGAAGAGTTACGTGCTTCCGAAAACGTACTTCTCACATGATTAAACGCCTTGAATCCTATAACACGGACCCAGCCTGAATCCTGGCGTTTCCCAAAGATGCTAACGTAAATGTCGAGTTTCCATGGAATTTGGCTCTTGATGAAGTCTTTGACATCTTGCCAGCTTGTTCGCTCCGGTAGCTTGGAGAGCTAAAAGTTAGAGGTATTTCGAGTGAATGAATTAGGAGTTATACATACTCCGCTAATGATGATGTAGTAGGGGCCAGTATGAAAGTCACCAGGGCCGATCAGCACGCTCGGCGGATCATGGGAGATCGCCATGTTTGTTGATCCCTGGGGTTACACGATAGGGAAGATCAGTTATTCTAAACTGGCGAGTTAGGGCTGGTTGGCATGTGTGATAGCCCTTGGATGAACAAAAGGAGGTGCTTTAGTTTCTTCTTCCGGTTGTGACGGTGTTGATCTCGAAAGGATACCGAGGAGTTGTCCATGGGGCGTCCCTTTTACATATAAACTTCCGAGGGGTTACTGACGGTTGTACACAACCGATGAGAACAAGATATACTTGGAAGGGTATCCTTAAATTAATCGATAATGCCGTCAACATGGTTTAGGAAGTTGAAGCCATGGCGTGTTTTGCTTGCAAAGGGGCATGCTGACTGATGGGAGGGAACTTTGCTTTTCTGGGCCCTGTCACAATGCATACATTGCATGAGGCGCTGAAACCTGGCTTTCAAAGTTGCGATATATGGGCCATGTCTAGCATGGAAAAGGATCGGGGTGGAGGTTGAAAATGTCATCCCCTGCGGTTGGCTCTTGTTTGAAATGTGAGAAGTGATGATGAGGGTACATGTTGCCCAACCTCGATAATGGTTCTCGCTAACCAGCGAACTTTGACGATTTGATGGTACTGATCTCTGCTAACCCCGCTAAAATTTCCAAAAGCTCAAATGCATTTGTCCAGATAGCTCGGAAAACAGCTGTATTGTCGAAGTATAGCATCAAGTTGTCCTTGTACGCTGTAGTGTTGAATTTTTCTTTCTTTGTTGAGGGAGGACAGCCATGCGATCCTTCTCCTCAAAATTTTAAATTCCAATTCCCCGTCCCCATTTCCAATTCTCCATGACCACCAAAATTTGAAGAATCGATACCAACTCATTATCATCGTTACGTGAAAGGGGTGACAGGTCAACCGCCATGTCCATCTACGTTCGTTAACCCTCTCCAGGCTAGAAATGCAGCCAAGTTTCAAACCCCCGCTTTCATCCGCCCCATTTCCCGATTCTCTTATTTGCAGAAGCAAGTCATCAACCACTTCATGTAGGCTTCACCAACCACAAGCCATGCAGTCAACCTCTGGGAAAGAACAGTGACGTGCCCCTTACCCTGCGGTCCACGAGCAAACAGTGTGGACAGCAACAAGCCCCAGCTGCAGCCGCGATTCCTGCCAGATCTGTCTCACTGGCCAGGCCCTGTGCCACATGGTAACACAACACCGCTAAACCTCACGGACCGTCATGGACGGACGGCTAACCGCAGGATCATTGCTGACGTTTGACCCTTTCTCAGAAAGAAGTCGAACATCCAGCCACACGGTACGTCCACGATACAGAGCTGAGCGGATGTTCGATAGCAACCGCGGTACAGGAACAAGATGAGCGCCATCGCGACACACAGTGTAAGGAATCACAGCCTCGAGGTATCCCTGGCGCCCTACCTGCCTCATCGGATCATTAGGGTCGACCAAAAGCAACCCTGAATTCGACCAGGCCAGCAACTTTATCCGAACAGCGATCCACCGCATGCGACATAGCCGCTTGTCACCAAAGCAAAATTCCAAACTGTCATAGGGCGTGGATCCGATTCGGCAGCACCATCTTCGTGTTGTTGCGAAGGATTCAGCCCGGAAGCAAGGCCCATCACCGTGCATACACACGGCAAGTCAACAACCAGATGCAAGGCCAGTTTCTCATATTGGATCCCTGGGTTACATTACAATCAACTAACAGCTTTCAGTGGTGGTATGGGGTGGGGGGCTTCCATCCAGAGAGTAAACAATGGTCCGCCATCCGCTTTTAAAGTTGACGAAGCCCACAGGTTCGGAAAGAGATGGTAGCATCATCAACGTCAAGGCTGCCACATATTCACGATCAAGCGGTTCCTGGGAATAAGCCTCCCACAAAACACGCGGAACTCCTGCAAAACGGACATTGTACGTGTGTAGGCTTGCTTCGTTTGGAACTTGGGGACATCCACATCGATCTTGTGGCTTCTGCGTGTCTTTGGATGCCGAATCTACTAGTCACCAAAGGGTTAGCTACGAGCCCTCGCTGGTTCACTTCATCACTTCTTACCCAACGCATCGAATTGCTCAACCCCCTCCTGTAATCACTGCAGCCCAATAAGGTCTTTCTCACGACATGAGAGGCTCCTGTTAACCCTCGAATGTATCGGCCCCAAGCTAGTAGTCATCATAAGCTGCCCCTTTCGTCGACAGCAGTCATGATCGCCACATCCTGCACCACGGTAACTTGGATGTGCTCCCGCCTTTGAAGAGGGCGCCATATCTTGTCTGCTTGTTGTAAGATGACGGCGAAACAGTTGCCCTTTCTGGATCAAAAGATTTCGTCTCGAACGGGGGGGATGGAAGACGACGTCACTGTTACCTTACTATCCTCCGCTCGTTCAAACAGCTGCTTTTGTGTATTCTCCGGCAATTATCTCCATCTCCATCAGTCGAGGGCACTCTGGGTGCACTACCCTTCCCCTCCCACCCCTCGTTGATGGTGCCCAATAGTCGTTGTCAGCAAGTAGATGCAGGGGAACCAAGCCCGAAATTGATTGGTTCAGGGATCCAGTACCCGCGGGGTTACTTGGCTCTTCCGCATTCTCGGTGATATGCAGCGATTCATGTTGATAGAGCAAGAAAGAAACATATGGAAGCTTGTTGTGCTTGTGAACAGAGACACTTACGATGGCCTTTCAATTCTTCCATCGATGTGTGGCGGTGTCGCTCCGTCTGGTCGCTGTCATTTGGCTGAACATGTCGGATTCTGGAGGATTCGACTCGATGATACCTCTTACACAAGATCCAAACTAGAAGTGGGATAGCCAAAATCTAAGACAGAGATCCAAACTAGAAGTGGGATATCCAAAATCTAAGACAGAGTAACATGTGGTTGATATATCGAATGGTTCGATGTCTCTTGAGCATTTCAGGTTGGGAGCATGTGTCGGAAGTACTCTAGTTCTAGTACTTATGTGAGATTGCGTGTAAGTGATAAGGGTTAGGGGTATTGGGAATGCACCGGCGATAAGCGTCTCCAGAACCTGGACTAGCCATATGCGGGTTAATGTCAACAACCCAGGGCGATCCCCTCATCTTTCTTCGCGATCTTCAACTTCAACATCAACAACATACCGAGTCCGAATTCCCACCGCCGATATCCGCTCGAACCATACAGACCAGAAATCATTTTGGATAATGATACGACACTCATCACATTCTCGCTTCCAACCAAACCCAGAATACAGTACCCCTAGGATATTTACGCCAGCAAAACAGACAACGCGTGGCTTCACCGAGACCTCCGAGTGACTTACAGATCCTCTGGCCGAAGAAAAAGCTACGACACGGTAGAAAGGAGACAAGGATTAAGAAGAATAATCACACAACAACATGGGTTTACGCCGAACGCCGCCTCCAGAGGCTGCGCCGGTAGCAGCAACGTCACGAGCAACAACATCGCAAGGAACAACACCGAGAGCAATCACGCCGAGAGCAACAACACCGAGGACTACGACGCCGAGAACGAGGACAAAACGAGCGACAACGCCAAGATCAGGGTCTTCAGATCCGACCGTCCATCTCCAACGCGCTGCCGAAGTACTCCAAGTCCTCGACACCTTCGATGCCTCCACGCGCGACGAAATAACCATCATCAAGATCTCCGAGCCTATATCAAGCGCATTGCACTCAGCTGCATCCAAGAACAACATCAACAATAGCAACAGTGACGGGTCACAGGACCAGCAACCAAGCAGCACCGCGCCGCGCACCTCAGACGTTTCCACCCACAGCGCCTCCTCCGCGCTCGATGCGCCCACGCCCGCCAGCCTCGAGGCCGAGCTGGCGCACTACAAGGAACTCTTCGCCAAGCTTCGCTTCTCCTACGTCGAACAAGTCACCAAAGAAAAATTTATCCGCGCCATCGTCGGCGACCCTCCGCTGATCGTCACCCCCCAAGAGAATGCCGACCTCGAGGCAAGCAACGTGGCCGCCAAGGCCTCGCTCAAGGCGCTCAAGACCGAAGTCGCGCTGCTCGTTGAAGACCTCGAGTCCCGATCGCGGGAGCTCGCAGCGCGGTACGAGCGCGTAAAGCTGGACAGAGTCAAGCTAAGGGAGCTGCCGGCAAAAATGGAAGAGCTGCAGAAGAGGGTGGACGAGTTGCGGACGAAGCAGGCCATCCAACCGGGGAGTCTTCCGGAAATGAACCTGCCGCTTGCGAAGACGGCGGTGCTGGTGGAGGAGCGGAGGCAGAAGGTCAGGGACCTGGAGAGGCAGGTGGAGCAGCTGTCCAGCCTGGCGCCGAGGAAGAGAAAGGAGATGGAACGGCTGCAGATGGAGGTTACGGCTTTGGCGGCGAAGAGGACGCAGGTGAGCGCTGCGGCAAGGGAGGCGAAGCGAAGGAGGGAGAACGCGCAGAAGGCCGGCGGGGCGGACGACGAGATGGAGGCTAAGGGGCGGTGGTATCGGGCGAGCGAGGCCGCTTTGAGGGAGATGCTGGGCTTGAAGGAGTAAGGGATGAAGGACGCGTTATGTCATGTTTTGTTTCGGTTACGTCTATGGGTTCGCGGCTTCGGTTACAAGGGGTGGTTGATATCACGAGGTTTGGATCCGGGATACTGGCATCATGAGTATGGACATTGCAGGCGTTGTTTGGGTTACTACCATTTACCATGAGCAGAAGGTTGTATAATGATGATGCAGTCGCATGAACTTTGCGATTCCAGTTGGAATTCAAGCGAGGACGAGACCGTGGACTGTTGGCCCCTGTGGACTAGACATGATGCCCACGGCCAACCCTCTGGGCCAACACATCTGATATATCTTCACCCCAAATCAGGGAATGATGCGGACCGGAAACGGGTTGTTGCCGCTGTGTGCCTTGCTGGACTTGACTTCGGTGCACGATCTACACCGCATTACAACTCAATGGGGCATTCGAAGTTGCACAAGATCTCATCGCCGTGGAGATGTCCTGAGTCCCTCCATATGTAGGATACCTGGGCGGTTACACGCCCATCTTAACACGCCCATTCCCGTCGGTCTCGGCGATCTTGTGTTACCTTTTACCGATTCCGCTGAAGTGGCTAGTTCGGGGACGAGAATGCCCCCCATGATCACGCCATGAAATCCCTTGCTGTTCATAACGTGGTGTAAACAACCTTTCCGGAGCGGGGGAATGGGGAGCGTTACATTCATCGTAACCTTGGCTTTCTCCGCACCGCTACGACCGGGGTAATTCAACCAAGTCGGGGGAGTCGGGGTAGCCTGAAGGGAACGAACGAAAGGGACCGACCGCCGGCGGATGTGGTGATCTGCCCATCCTCACATCCAAAGAAGTCATCGAGACCAAACAAGCAAGAGCACATGACTCTTCTTCAAGTCTTACGGATTTGAGGGTAGGTGAAGATCTGAGACGGGAGGGAAGAGTCTCAGACGACAGTGGGCTCATTGGGTTGAACTTGATATGATGTGAACGCCGATCCATCAACGGCGCCAACGACAACCACCATCTGGTATGCACACTGACTGCAGCAGATTCATCCAACAAACAAAACGCGGGGAACCTCCGAACGCTCTTCCCCCGAACGGCCCCCGCTCCCCATTCCCACATTCCTCATGCTCCGAGGCCGGGGTAGCGAAGCATGCGGGGGTTCTTGTGCTCAATAAACCACGAATCAAAGGGATATTATTGTGATTCATTATGGGAGGGAAAAAAAAAAAAAAAAAAAAACCAAAGAAAGACCAGCAGTTCATCACCCTCTCTTCCAAGTGCTCCAAGGAATTACCAAGAGCCAAGCTGGTAAATACATACAGTGCACGGTAAAAATCCACCTCCCCATACTCACGGCGCTAAACCAAACTCTCTCTAGCGCCATGTAGAGTCTAAAAGGCTAAACGCACCACTCCCGGCCCTGGCTCCCTGGGCACTCACCCTCATCACCTCGGCACCTCCACACACCAATTGCCTCTTTGGTCTTTGGACACTTTTTTGGGGAAGTCCAGAGTCCAGACCTTTTTCCTTTTTGCTCTTTTTACAAATTGTGATTCATCGTGCGAATTCCTCCTTGTGTTTTTTTTTTTTTTTGGGAGGTCTGACTTTGTTGTTGTCCGCGTGATGCTACGGTGGTACCGAGGGAACTTTGCCATGGCATGTAGTGTACGTGTAAGAGCGAGATCGGCACGGAGGTGATGGGGAGGTTGACGGATTAAGCCTCATCTCCAACTTTCAACATTGATTCCTTAACTTGAGTTCGTGAACTCAGTTATCAACCAGGCCGGGTTCCCGTAAATGGAATCAAGTTCAGCGATTTAACAAATTCACCTGAGCGCTGAGAGATGAATGATGACGAAAGACGGCGGAAGTGGTCCCGCCCGGACAACTCAACAAGCCGTGAAGCGCCCGCCCGAAAAACGCATATCTTACCTAGCGCAGGTGTCCTCATGTAATGTACGGCGTCGTGGGCGGCGTAGGTAGTACACCAACCCCCCTTGCCTTTCCGTAATCTGAAAGAAACCAGCGCCGCACGGAAAGTCGGTAGCGTAGGTAACCATGAACAAGAGAGAGCCACCGGATACCCTGAAAGTGCTGTCAATCAATCACCGGTTGGTACCGTACTACATACAACTGGCTGGTACATAATCAATGGCTTGTTGGTTCCAGCGGCTCAGCTCCATCCAGCGGTTCAGAAGACGTGTGGTTGGTTTCCATCCAGGGAATTTCTTTTTTTTTGTCCATATGTCATCCTCGCTTCGAACACGGGAAGAGAGAGGTAAGTGGAAGTAAACTGAATAAATTGAAGAAGACGGGCGGTAGAAGATAAAGCGGGGGGGGGGGGTGGAGGACACACCTCATTCAGTGATACCAGATCTAGCAATAAGTCTCAATCCCAATCTCGGACAATCTTGGTCTTCATTCCTTTCCGGGCGCTCCGAGGAAGATGATAGACATCTTTTGTGAAACAGTCCGTCCAGCCCGCTCGGGTGGGGTTGGGGGAGGGAATACATTACATATTCCATAACGCCATAGTAACCAACATACCTAGCGGTACAGCTGAGGAAGAGGAAAAGAGATGCATCTGTCGGTCCGGTGACCCTCAGTCTATAGGCGGGTAGGCAGGTAGGTAAGTGCAAGTAGACTAAGGTTCGCAGCCCTAGCATGGAGCAAGCGTCAAGCGTGCAAGCGTACAAGCGTGCCCGCTTAAAATGGCAAGTTTGCCCGACATATAGTTACCTTAGCCCTTCTTCCTTTCCTCTTCCTCTTCCTCTTCCTTCTGTCTTTTGTTACAATCCGAAATTGTCAGACACAACAACTTAAATCCCAAAACCCACACGCTGTCCACCTCCACTCAGCTCCCACTGGACGGTGACAGTGTCCGACACACACGAGACTATCACAGAAACGGGAACCGGAAAGCGCACCCATCACAGGCGAGCTGCAACCTGCCACCCGAGCGCCCACCCTGCCACGCGGTTGCACATCACTGTGCTGTTCCTTGTTTTCGTAACCGTCTGTGATCAAGGTCTGGTGGCGCCTATCAGATCTCAACTTGAGGATATAAGAGAGCCATCTTTGCGCATCGTTTGAACGGAAACATTTGTTGTTGTCAAGTCTGAACAACGAAAATTCCTAACGCAAGTCATCGACGAACTAGTCCCCGATACGGACACGATAAAAAGTCAGGTCTCAGTCCAAGCTGCGCCGAGCTGAACAAGCCCCCAGAACTCTGCGTTAAGCCGCCTTCGATACCAGCACTGCGGTCGCCAATCAGGAAGGGTGTTACAAGGGCGCAGATACGGGACTTACAAGAACTTCGTTCATCCCACCTCTTGCTGTAAAAGGTTGACGGTTCCTTTGAGCACTTCATCAACAACCGCAACCAAAACCACCACCAGTTTAAGCAAAATCGCCTTCAATGGCAGCCCGGCAATCGTTGTGGACTCCTCCCAAGGAAGCTGAACCGGGTCTCTGGAACCCTGGAGCTCCGAAGCTCTGGTCTCCCAGAGAAAGAAGCCAATCCACCAGCACAGTTTCCTCCGTCTTCTCAGCCTCTAACGCCGATGGAAGGATACGCTACCCCGGCCGGCGCTTTGCGCAAATTGTCAAGCTGAAGCCCGAGTACATCGGCAAGTACAAAGAGAGCCACGCTGCTGTGTGGCCCGAGGTTGCAAAGCAGATCAAGGAGTGCAACATTCAAGATTGTATGTCATCTTCACTCTTTCGTGCCGAATTTTGAATCGGCAAATGTCGTTCGTGCTTTGGTCATCAATGCTAACTAGCCCGGTGTGTACAGACAGTATCTTCCACGACCCCGGCACAGGCATCCTCTTTGCCAGCTTCAAGTATGTCGGCTACGATTATGAAGGCGATATGGAGAAGATGCGCGAGAACCCCAAGGTTCGGGAGTGGTGGAAGATGACTGATGGATTCCAGGAGTCCATGGTTCCGGGGGCAAAGAACAGCGAATCGGGAGAGCCGTCGTGGTGGAAGCCCGTCGAGGAAGTCTTTTACCAGGCATGATGGCCTTTGGTTTGGCAGTTACTGTACTTTTCATTAGCGGTTCTCTTGGTCAATTTCTGTTTCCCATCAGCGCAAATCTAACGTTATAGACGGGAATTTTCTCTTATTCGACATATGTCTTTGAGTGTGACATGTGAAACTGATCGACGGAGATGAGCTCCTAGTTACTACCATGAGACTAATACGGCCAAGGTCTTGTCTGTACACTATGTAGTCAGTCCGATTCTACCAGTGTAGGACAGTCGTCAAGCGTTTTGAAGCCGCTCAGCTCGGACGAAGCTTAATTTGCGGGGAAGTTGTGTGCATCGACCGACGATCATTGTGTGCAGTTCGGATGTGCGCTGTGATCTGCCTCGGCAGAAACTTGTAATTGGTGATTTGCTGGGTTACTACTTCAGTTTGCCAAAGAGGCCGCTGAAGATGCTGGTAGGAGACCCGCCCCTTCCGCGATTTCCATGCCGTCTCGCCTCGTTTCGAATCCTGTAGTAGAGTCAAGTTAGCCTCCGGAGAGCAAGAGATTCACACAACGGCCAAAGAGCTGGCGTACCATTCCTCCAAGAACTTGCGATTGGCCAATTGGCGACCGTCGGTGACCTTGGTTTGCGTCTGCGCCTCCTGGGCATCAAAACTCAGCAAGGTAGGGATCGAGTTGATCATATAGGTAAGGCCCAGTCCGGCTTCCATAACATCAGGCGCATCGTACTCGACGGTACAAAAGCCAACGCCGCCCTCTTCTTCACCGACTCCGGTTTCGACGAGCTCGCGCAACAAGGGCTCCACCACTCGACATGTAGGGCAATAGGAAGTGGTCCACAGCGTCAACAGCGGTGTTCGCGAGGAGGATGAGAGCAGCTGATATGTATGGAACTGGTCGAGGTTACGAACACTGTGGACCAGAACAAGAGTTAGTGGCCTTTCCGCAAAAGAGACCGCAGGCGCATCTATGATGACTGTACGCACGACTGGTAAATTTGGTTCTTGGCCGCAACTGCGCGTGATGTCGAAAAAGACGCAGCACTCGAAGCGAATTGGTTGCAAGTCACTGCCGCTGCTGTTGGTGTCTTGCGGAGCAGGCGCCCGGCCTGTCTGCCCGAGGTAGAGAGGAAATGCATGGTAGAACGGTGACAGCTTGCGGCTCTTTGGCTGTCTGGGGTCTCAATTGGACGGCACGTCTGCGGTCGTTTGGGCCGGCAATGATGGTGTGATGCTGTTGAGCGCAAGCTAATCGAGATCAAAAAGGGAAGAGCGTAATGGATTCGATTGTGAGCTGGAGAATGTCTCGGAATTGGTGGTCACCATTCACACTGACGCTGTCATGGCATCAGCAACAAGACGGGAGCTAAGAGATAGAGGTGAGGAGCGCCAAGGATCTCGCAGCGTGAGAATGTAAGATTGGTTGCGTCATAACGCATCGTCTTCTGTTTTAGGGGACCAACGGGGTGAGGGTTCGCCTTTCGTTTGTTTGCAGGGGTGCTGCAAGCCATGGAGATCTTGCAAATGACACCACACCAACCAACCCGCCCGTCCACTTCCCGGTCATGGTCATGAACATGTGAGCGCCGGCAACCGGGCAAAGGAGCAATTCTAGTCTTTCGAGGAGGTGTCCAGCTGAGTGAAAGCGAGGCCGGATGACCGGTATTTGCTTGAGAACATTCCATCCACGAACATCGAGTTCGTCATCAAGGGCATCATGATGCACTTTTATCACTTGCGCTGTATTACCTCTAGGGCATAGAGATTTGACGCTGGGGTCTTTTTTTTTGGTTAGAACAGACAGGTTGAATCTGTAACAGCAGTGACTCGGGGGACATCCGAGCACAATGTTTGAGATCTGCCGAGCTAAGCCGCTGTCGACCCCGGGCGGAGGGCTCCTTCCGAAAGAGCTTAGGCCCTCCGGTGGTACTTGCGAGAGATAATTTGGTGTCCGATTGTCTGTGTCGATATAACCTCAAAAGATAGGAGGTGGGTTTCGCAGTCAGGATCTGCGCCTACAGCGTTCTCTGGCGCGTCTCTGGCGCATTTGGCTGCGGATACCCGAACTGTAGTGCGGGGGAAACCATGGGAGGGTCTCTGTTAGGAAATGGTGTGAGCTGGTGCGACCTAACGTGACCCTTTGTCAGTTGCGGCTTTTGCAACCATTTTGCGACCATCCAACAACTTACACGCGATAAGACGGCATTGTATATCCAGAATAAGCTCATTCAACGATGATTTTCACTACTCGGAGGGGCAAGCTAATGCGAAGCAACCTCTACATCCTGGCCTTTGATCATTCTCGCGCAGTCCATCTCGTATCCTCCGCTTTCTTTCCGCCAACCGGAGACTCGGGTGCTCGCACACGGGGCCAGAAGTCGAGGAGGACGGCAGGACGATAGACAAAAAAGAAACCTCGCTCGATCTTTGCGGTTTTGTCCTTGTCTAGACGATTGTCAAGCCCGCCACATCGGCTCGCACCCTGGATCGTCGATCCTTTGCCTTTTTGCACCGGCCTGGTCTGCCAGGTTTGCCTAAATCAGTACACTACACTAGTCTCGGGACTCAAAGATGATGGCCTGAGAACCTCTCAGGACAGCAGCTCGACGTGAGACTAAACATTATGCCCATGGAGGCAACTGAACCGAAGCAAGAAACTCCCTCGTCGACCGTCTTCCCTGTCGCTCCTGCCCAACATGGTCCACCTGACGACCGGTCTGGCTCACCACAACGAGTCGAACCAGGCGACAAAAAGGCCACAGTTGTGGATCACTCCTCAGTCGTTGCCTTTGAACCTGACCCGATCCGCCTGGTCCTTTCTCTCATTTTCCGTCAAAAGCCCATCTTGGCCGGGGCTTGGCAGACCTCGGCGGCGTTGAAGGAGGCTGGGACCTCCCGGGGGGGCAGGTCTAAACTCCCACGGCAGGGTCGTCTACAGCATGGGTTCGGCCCACGCGCTGGTGTGTTTTAGCGTGTTTGGTGGACACTTATTGATACCAAGATGCACCCAAGTGGAAGGCATCAGAAAAGACATGCAGCTATTCTCGACAACCGCCGCTTCCTGTGCTCACTTGACCCCTTCTCCTCTTTTCGTTTCATCTAGGCATTTCTTGTTTCTTATTTGCAAGATCTTGAGACATCTTTAGTGCCTGTTGAGGAAGGCGGGTTTGCCAACCAGAGAGCTAGTACGACTAGCACGGCTTTGACTGACAACCAAAGTCCGGCCCTTGGAGATCGACGGTTGAGTACTTGAACTCCGTCTCCCTCCTTCCTGCATGCTGCATACCTTTCTGTCATCATTGCCTTACCCTGCATTCATCCCTCATAGATGTCTATCTCATAGAGTTCTTCCCTGCACATATCTTTGATACTTCTCCTCTCGCCCGACAACACACCGAATTTCCTGGCCCATTCGTATTCTTCCACCTCATATCAGGGTCTTGACGCTCCTTATACTCACCGGCAACCACAACTTTCTGGGTAATACGCCCGCAAACTTTCCGAATATCATTCAATCTGTCCCAGAAAAATCTACTGTCCTCCCTAGATACGAAACACCCTAAGAGAGAATCTTAAGCAATGGCGCCCGATCCTGAAGCGGGCACCGCACCACAAAAAGGCGGATGGCGGTTGTTTGGACAGAGTCCGACCAGGGAGCAAGAAAACGAGGAGACACCGGGGAGGAGAGGACTACCAAAATGGAATATGTGCATTTTGAACGACAGAGAGACCATTGAAGTACCAGGTAAGATTTACCCAGAAGCACTATTTTGCAATTACAATAACACTAACTTCCTCCTAGGCTCGGTCCTATTACTAGCGGCAGACCACAATGAGCCCCTTGGTCTACGAAACGCACCTGCACGAACTTCCCATTCATCCATCCCAACCGCCGTTATTCGGCCCCCAGAACCCCCACAGGACGAGAAGAAGAAAACGAGTGACGGCAAAATCATTCTCGAACCCCAACCAGAAGAATCCGCCAATGACCCCCTCAACTGGCCGACGTGGCGCAGAGATTCGGCCCTGCTCTCCCTGGGCCTCTTTTGTATGGTGGGCGGCGGCATGACCCCTCTCCTTGCTGCTGGCTTCACCGATGTCGCCAATGAGTTTGATGTCAGCGTCTCAGACGTATCACTTACGACAGGCCTCTACATGATGGGTATGGGTCTTGGCTCCGTGGTCTTCTCGCCTACGGCTATCCTGTACGGAAAAAGGCCAGTGTACCTCTTTGGGGCTCTGTTGTTTGTCGTAACATCAGTGTGGTGCGCCGTTTCAAAGAGCTTCGTGTCTTTGGTGCTTGGAAGAATCTTCCAGGGCATTGCTGTCAGTCCGGTTGAATGCCTTCCGTCTGCCACCATTGCCGAGATCTTCTTCCTCCACGAGCGAGCTTATCGAATCGGCATTTATACTCTGTTGCTTCTTGGTGGAAAGAACCTGGTTCCTTTGGTCAGCGCAGCCGTGATTGAGAGCTTGGGATGGCGCTGGACTTTCTGGTGAGTTTCTTGTCCCTAACGTCAGTCTCAGGTGTTTCAAAGCCTAACAAGTCTATTAGGGTTGTTGCTATGGTTGTTGGCTTCTGTGGGTTTCTGCTGTTCCTCTTTGTCCCCGAGACATTCTGGGACAGAGTGCCCCATCCGAGGAAGAAATCATCTAGGCCAGGCTTCTTCCGCCGGATGTCCTCAAAACAGCACATTCGGCGTTCGGATGCCGCAGGTGTCAGTGTGCCACCCAGCGCTTTACCCAGCGCATTGCCCAGTGCTCGCCATAGTGAGGAAGGTCCGAGTCCAGCGCCGGCGCCTAACCATCGCCGGAACGTTCACGTCGGATTTGCTACTGAAGCGGAAGAGCATCATACCGAAAAGGATAGGGAGGCTGCAGTGCTACAGCACACTTCTGGGAAGCTTGATGAGCTCCGCGACTCGAGTGTTCCCGGCACAGCACGTATTTTTGCGGAAGACAGCCATGCTGCGCGCCCCGATATAATTGCCCAGGGACCCTCATCATCTGACAATTCGACGAAGCCCCATGTCTCCTACATGTCCGACAACCTTGAAAAGCCCAAGTCACCTTACTCTCCGGACAGGCTTGCCCGACAGGATCACACCGAAACCGATACCGAGTCTCAATCAGTGGCTAGCTCACGCATGGTGGCCGGCAGAGTTCCATACACTACGGCCCTACGGGACCAGCCGGCAAAGTCGTTTATTCAGCAGCTCAAGCCGTTCCATGGCCGCCTGAACAAGGACAAATGGCACAAAGTAGCCGTCCGGCCGCTCATTCTGTTCTCCTATCCAGCCGTCCTTTGGTCAGCCATCGTCTACTCATGCTCAGTCGGATGGCTTATTGTGATATCCGAATCTGTAGCTGTCATCTACCGTGAAGGCCACTATGAATTCAACGCTCTGCAGACGGGGTTGGTTTACATCAGCCCTTTTGTCGGCGGTATTCTGGGCACGGCTGTGGCGGGCAAGGTATCGGATGTCATCGTGAAGGCAATGGCCAGGCGTAATGGTGGTCTATACGAGCCCGAGTTCCGACTTGTCATGGCGCTACCTGTAGCCATTACCACGGTTATTGGCCTGATGGGCTTCGGCTGGTCTGCACAGCTGGGTAACCACTGGATTGTACCGACCGTGTTCTTTGGTGTCGTCTCGTTCGGATGCTCGCTTGGCTCGACAACCAGCATCACCTTCTGTGTCGACAGCTACAGACAGTATGCGGGCGAGGCCTTGGTTACGCTCAACTTCAGCAAGAATATTTTCCACGGTCTCGTTTTCAGCCTGTTTGTAACCGGCTGGCTTACGGACGATGGACCTAAGACTGTGTTTATCTGGATCGGAATCATCCAGCTCATCTTGCTCTTTTTCACTATCCCAATGTACATCTACGGAAAGAGAGCCAGGATGTGGACGGTCCGGAAGAACTTTATGGAGAAGTTCTAGGTGAACTTCCGTAAGGTCAAATACACCTGACGGTCATCGTGACGGTAGACCTCTGGAGGCTTTGGTAGGGTAACCTGTCACCGATTGGTGAGGCTAGCCATGAGCATGAGTTATGACTGTGTTAGGTAAGGAGTTTGTTGGGGCATTGACTTGGGATATTGTACGCATTTTGCATGATACCATTTGTAGCGTTTGCATATAACAGTTTAGGATATTATAAATTTGGCATCTAGCTGCGATTCTTAACTCTGTGACTTTTGGACTTGCTTGTATGACACGGAAATTGTGCCACACTTTATGAAAGTTTGCATTCTCCAATGCCCATGACATTATGACCTGAGAGGATTGGAGCTGTTGGTCAAAAATCCTCAAGGACAAGGCGGGAGTGTTGAAGAAACGGGTACAGTGACAAAACATTAAAACGACGTGACATGCGTACTGTGTGCTAGTAACGACCCCTCTATTTTCTCTCCTTTTTCCTTCCCTAGCGTGAGCCCCACTATCAATTGCATCACAAGCCCAGTTACACAAGCTCACGAAGCTCACCTATTTCGACCTCACTTACTACCCTTCGACCTCACTTACTACCCTTGGTAACTTTTTTTTTTTTTTTTTTTCCTTTTTTGGCAAAAGGACTTCCCCTTATCTTCATACTTTCATCTCACCACTTCGTTTGCCCTCGGTTACCCAGAATACACCCAGCACTCTTTCGATCTTGACTGGTTCAGCCACATCTCTTCAACAACCCCAACCACAAAACCACACTTTGTCTCCTACGTAGAGATATAGCTCATTCTCAGCACATCGGTTCACAATACACCAGGCCAGCCGACGCCCTCACTTCTTCTACCTGGACGAAGAACCTCAACCTCAGCCTCAACTCTCAACTCTCAACTCTCAACAAAATGACATCCCGAACCATCCCCCCTCTCCTGGAACCCTACCTCGCCATCGAGCCGCCCCAGTCCCAAATCCTCCTAACAGGCCTCCTTGGCGCCAACACCAACTGGCTCCTCCTTCGCTACCTTTACACACTCCTCAAATCAAAATCTCAGCAGCAGCAGCAAGCGCAGCCAACAAGACCACAACAACACCAGCCACAGGGCCAGAGACGCGTAGGCCTGAGGATTCCGGTAGCTGCTGAACCTGGCCTTGAGCCACCCGCCCCCGCGCAAAATGGAGGAGGTGCAAATGATGAGGAAGGGGAGAGTGTGGGGGTATTGCTGGTGAGCTTCCTTCGTGACTTTGCGTTTTGGAAGGAAAGTGCCGGTAGGCTGGGACTGGATTTGGAGGGGCTGGGGAGGAGGGGAAAGTTGGGGTTTGTTGATGGGCTTTGCGTTGGGGTTAGATCTGGGTCTGGGTATGATGGGGAGAGTGGTGGTGCTGGTGGTGGTGGTGTTTCTGGTGCTGTTGGGGGTGGTCTTCCTGTGAGAAGTAGACCTCCTGTGCCGGTGGCGGCTGGAGGGGTGCCAGGACGGGGGACCACCACAAGCTGCTCCGACAAGCCCGGTAACGAGGGAATCTATGTCACAAGGACAAGGACAAGGACATGGGCCGGCTGCAGGAGAAAAGTGGAAGCGCTCTCTCCCCAGCTTGGCAGTGGCAGATGTGAGCAAGACGCTACACGCTGCTTTGGACGAGCTGTGCCAGAAGAACAAGAAGGTGGTGCTGGTTATTGACCAGCTTGACTTTTTGCTGGCTGCTACGTCGGATGGGAACGGGTCGGTTTCATCGGCATTGAAGGACCTGCTGTTGGATCTCAGAGAGGTAAGTCATCCTACGAGCACACGGGCGGACAGATGCATGCATACGGAGGACGAAGAGACTGATGATTAATGATATTAGCAATCACATGCCACGATCCTCACGTTGTCTGCCGACGACCCATTGATCGCTTCGCAGGCGACCACGCTGGAGAAGGATCACGCCTCCTTCGTTCTGTCGCTGGCGCATGAGTCGGATATGATTGTGAGTCTTAGATTACTGGATACTGGCATTGCGAAGGACGTGAGCGGTGTGGTCAGGATTACGCGTGGAGGAGACAGTAGCGGCGAGAGGCAGATTGAAGAAAAGGAGTATCTGTATCATGTCGGAGGAGACGGTGGCGTTCGGGTCTTTGAAAGGGGGCAATAAATAGCTGGTTCGAAAACATTGGGCCTGATATTGAATTTGATAACCATCATCACACATCACGTCATATCTGATATTCGTGGCTCTCCCAAATGTTCCGAAACGCTCGGGTGAATTAACGGAACTGGAATTGTAGAGTAGTAATAAAACTTGCTCGACCGGGCGACACTCAGCCCATCACCAAGCTTGAAAGCTTGCCTTGTCCGTGGGGAGACTTTTGCTGTTTCCGCTTCAGCAAAAAAGACGTTACGCCATTGTATCCCATGACCATGTTTGCTCCTTGCGCATGTCAAGAAAGCCTTTTGAAGATCGAGTTCCCCGCGCGCGCGCAAAATGTAAACCTCATGCACCTTTTGCCCGTTGATGTGATGTAGCAGCAGCAAAAAGCGAGTTTAGGTCCGATCCGTAGATAATCCCAGTCCCTGGTTACACCGCACCCGCCGAAGAAAACGATCCCGTCCCATTTGTCCCGCTTCGCCGCCGCCAGTTCACGTTAATCGACCCGAGAGAACAGAAAATCCAACCCAGTTCGCTCATTTAAGCAGCGACGGGAGCCTTGGAGCCCTTGGGGACACCGGTCTGGAAGCCGTTCTTGAACTTGCGAGAGACGGTGCTGAGGTAACGGAGGCGACCAGTGCCGGTGGTCTTTCTGCGCTTAGCCTTCTCAGACCAGTTGTCTGTATTGCAAAACCCTGATGTCAGCATTCTGACACTTGCGCCCGAGATTCGGGGGGAACCTCTCAGGTAGGCCCCCTCGAGGATAATAGAGTCCAACGTACACTTGCGGGTCTTGGCGGCAGGGTAGCCGCAAGAAGCGCAGACCTTCTTCTGGTTGTGGAGCGAACGGCGACTGGTGAATCGATTGTCAATTTCTTGTTCTGTTGTAGCGGAGGACGTCGTCGATGTTCGTGTATCTTTGTGATCGTCGACCCATGTGTTCTCCTTTTTTTCATTCGGATTCGGATTCGTGTCGACTTACCCGCAACGTCTGCAAAGACCGTGGGTCTTGGTGTGGCTGTTTGGAGAGTTAGTTACCCTTATCCGACAGTGTCCGAGCCGTATGGGTCCTCAAACATACCGCTTGCCAAAGCTCGAAGTTCCCTTAGCTGTTCGCCACCGTGTCAGCCCATCGTGTCCCAATCATATCGCATCCTCTCGTAGTTGTTGTGCATTATTTCGTCTTCGAGCCGTATGTCGTCCAGTTTACAGTCGCTCAGGGCAACATTTCGACCAGATCGTCAATTCGGTCGTTGGCGAGGGGTCGATCAAAAATGGTTTTGAGGTACGTCGTGTGTCTGCAGGATCAGGGAAAACCTACTCATTTTGGCGGTTGCTGTGTTCGAACAAAATCAGTATGGCCGTAAGGGAACCTCTTGTTGGGGGTGGAGCGGAAATACCTTCGTCGTCGTCACCGGGCGGAGCGTTGTCGTGAGTTGGATGATTCTCTCAAGTCTAGGATCGCGAAATTTTGGGAATGTGCGGCAGCCAGATTTCCCGCTTAGGGCTGCCGCGTACCCCCGCCACATGTGGCTGCGGATTGTGGCTTGTGTCACCTGTTGGGCGCAACCTGCGCTGCCGCGTCCCACCCGTCCCTTTAGCCGACCCACAATTCCGTGCCGCCCAGGCCCACTCAAGACTTCAATCATCCAGACCTCCTGGCAGGACCACATCGATGAGACTTCGCCGACGCTTCAATTATACATGATATCTTGTTGCTTTAGGCCGCCTGAGAGCGGCATCGACGGCACTTGGTATGCAACTGTACGCATCAGTTCAAAAAGTAGTTAAACCTGCAGATATCTCTCACCAGACGGTAACAACTTCGAGAAGAATAGGACACTCTCTGTAGCAGAAACAAGCAGGATAAGATGGACTTGAATCCACGTGTGAACTGACTTGAGATGTAGCTCTCTTAAACACCCATTTCAATGACCACGAAGTCAAAGCTGAAGCTCATCAGTCATCCCGATCCACAAACATCATGAATCACCCTCAAGGCTTTATAGTCAACAGAAATGTTGCTGGGACAAAAACATTCAAGTTCCGAAAGATGTCGTCTTATAATGAGAAACTAACTACAACTTTTCTAAACGCTCCAAGCATTCTTCGGACACTGAAGGGCCGTACTAGATGCTCAACCAGATACCAACTCCAAATGAAATCCCACACTTAGATCTTCAGCTTGCTGAACTCCTCCAGAGTGCGCTGGTAGTTCTCCTTCGCCGCCTGAGCATCGGCCAGCTTCTGCTTCTCAGACTCCTGGACAGCCTCACTGACCTTCTCGAAACCATCCTTGGACAGCAACTCCTGCTGCTTCTTGATGGTGAGGTCAGTCTTCTGCAACTTGGTGGTGATCTTCTTGATCTCAGCATCGATGTCGCTGATGTTACCGCCAACCTGGAGAAGGACGGTGATCTCGGCATTGATGACATAGACGGCGCAGCCTCTTGGCAGCTCCTCATCGGCGGCCAAGACGCGGACCTCCTTAACGCCCTTGCCACAGAGTGTCCTGATGGCGGCGATCTGAGCGTTGACAGTGGCGAGACTGCCCTCAGTAGTGGCCTTGATGAACGCGCTGCCGTCCGACTTGATGTTGTAGTCGGCAGCCAGGGAGCGGATGCCGCCGGCGCACTTAAGACCAAGCTCGTAGTCCTCAGCTTCAGTAGCGAACTCAAGCTGAGACTCGAAGGTAGGGTAAGGAGCAAGCATGATGGTCTCGCCATCGCCCTGCTTGCGAGGAAGACGCTGCCAAAGCTCCTCAGTGATATAGGGCATGATGGGGTGGAGAAGACGCAGCGCCACGTCAATGGTGTGGTAGAGGGTCTGCTGCACGCTCTGCTGCTCCTCAGGAGTACCGTCGCTGAGGATACCCTTGCTATTCTCGATGAAGACGTCGCAGAGCTCATCGTAGAAGAACTGGTAGGCAACCTTGGTGGCTCTGGAGAATTCGCGGGCCTCGAGAGCATCGTTCATGCCCTTGACGGCGACGTTCATGCGGTGAAGGATCCACTTCTCAGGGACAGACAGATTGGCAACGTCAAGCTCGGCCTTGGGCACAAACTCCTGAGGAAGCTTGCCGAGGACGTACTTGGTGGCTTGCCAAATCTTGTTGCAGAATCTGCGGTAAGCGTGCATAACCTTGATGTCAAAGTTGATATCGCCACCACCAGTGGTGTAAGAGAGAAGGGTGAAACGCATGGCGTCAGCACCGCACTCGGGGATACCACCGGGGAAGGCCGTCTTCTGGTACTTGGTAGCTCTGGCGACTTCGTCCTCCTTCAAGTTACCGACCAGCAGCTTGGCATGGAGGTCCTCGAGCTCGATACCACGAATGATGTCAAGAGGGTCGATGACGTTGCCCAAAGACTTGCTCATCTTCCTGCCCTCGGAATCGCGGATCAAACTGTGGCAGTACACCTCGGTGAACGGCACCTCTCCGGTCATCTTGAGACTGAGCATGATCATACGGGCGACCCAGAAGAACAAAATATCCCAGCCGGTCTCGAGCATGCTGGTAGGGAAGAACTTCTTGAAGTCGAGGTTCTCGGTGTTGGGCCAGCCAAGAATGGCCATGGGCCAAAGTCCGGAGCTGAACCAGGTATCGAGACAGTCGGGATCTTGCTCAAGGGTGAACTTGCGGCCGGCGAACTTGGCCTCAGCCTTGGCCTGCGCCTCCTCCTGTGTTCTGCCAACGATCCACTCGGACTTCTCATGCTCGCGCTGGCCCTCCTCACCCTCAAAGATGACGCGGTAGGCAGGAATACGATGGCCCCACCAGAGCTGACGAGAAATACACCAATCCTGGATATCGGCAAGCCACCTCTTGTAGGACTTGTTAGCACTCTCGGGGGAGATCTTGACCTTGCCCTCCTCGACGACCTGGAGCGCGGCTTCGCCCATCTCCTTCATGCGAACCCACCACTGCTCGGTCATCATGGGCTCAATGACGTCCTTGGACTTCTCGCAGAGGGGGATCTTCATGGGGTTGGGCTCCTTCTTGACGAAGAGTCCAAGCTTGGTCAATTCCTCCACAACAGTGTAACGGGCGTCGAAACGCTTCTGTCCCTTGAAGGGGCCGGCATTGTCGTTGAGGGTTCCGTTCTCGTTAAGAATGTTAATGAACTCAAGGTTGTGACGCTGACCAAGCTGGTAATCATTGAAATCGTGGGCCGGGGTCAACTTGACAGCACCGGTACCGAACTCCTTGTCGACGTAGCTGTCGGTGACAATGGGGAGGAGACGGTCGACGAAGGGGTGGCGGGCGAACTTGCCGACAAGGTGGGTGTAACGAGGATCCTCGGGGTTGACGGCGATACCGGTATCGCCAAGCATGGTCTCGGGACGGGTGGTGGCAACCTCGATGGTCTCCTCGGAACCGTCAATCTGGTACTTGAAGTGAGTAAGGACACCGAACTCGACCTTCTTGTCGTAGCCGGGGACATCAAGAAGGGTACGGCCGGTAATTTCCTTGTTCTCCACCTCCAAACCACTGAGAGCGGTGTTCAAGTGGGTGCACCAGTTCACCAAGCGGTTGGACCTGTAGATGAGGCCCTCGTCGTGAAGACGGCAGAAAGTCTCCATAGTGGCAGCAGTGAGGTTCTTGTCCATGGTGAAGGCCTCACGCTCCCAGTCCATCGAGCCGCCCATGAGCTTCTGAGCATTGTTGATGCGCTGGTGGTAATCGCCCTTCCACTCCCACACCAGCTCTGTGAACTTCTCACGGCCAAGTTCTTGACGGATCTTCTTCTCCTTCTTCCACAGCATCTTCTCGACGACGGACTGGGTCGAAATACCGGCATGGTCGCAACCGGGCACCCATAGGGTCTCGTAGCCCTTCATGCGGTACCAGCGGATCAATGTATCTTGCAGGGAGTTGGCGAGAGCATGGCCGCAGTGGAGAGCGCCGGTGACGTTCGGAGGTGGCAGAGGGATGACGAACTTGCCAGCAGAGGGTTTCCTGCAGGCTTCAGGCTTGAAGTAGCCAGCCTTCTCCCACCACTGGTACCAGGCAGCCTCGACGGCGCTGGGGTTGTATGCCGAGAAATGAGGATGCTCGAAAGACTGGATGACCTTCTTCTGGCCGGCCGGGGTGTTGTCTTCGTACGGAGGGAGAGCAGGTGTCTTCTCCTTCTTCTCCTTGGGGGCGGACACAGCAGCGGGCTGCTTCGCTTTGGCGGCCGCCTGCTTAGCAGCGAACTTGGCGGCCTTGTCGGCTTTAGCCTTCTCCTTCTTGTCTACAAGAGCAAAGAAACGGGTGTAAGTTGGTGACCACGAGTTTGCATAGTAGACTTCAGTTCCACAGGGCTCACGAACCGTTCTTCTTCGGGGCAGGGGCAGCCGGCGCGGCGGCAGGCGCGGCAACGGGTTGATCTTCCGCCATGTTGACTTTCTTGTTGCTGTTGTAAGTCGAATAGGGTCGAGGAACCGGAAGTATGCGGGTCGTCGTGATTTTAAGCAATGAATGCCTTCTCGAGCTTCCAATTGCCAATCGCCACAACGAAAGCGGCATTCAGAGGGATAAGGGTCAATGGGCAGCTGAAGGGTTGAGCGTTATAGGCGGGCCGTCAGGCTGACAGGAATTTCTTTTGCGGCCGCCCCTCGGAGGGGCAGACGGACTAGACCGGCCGGGAGCCATGGGCCCATGCAGTGAGTCAAAAGATTTCCCCGCGCACGGGCCCCACTATTCCCGCCAACCCGCGTGCAAGTGTTTGAGAGGTACCTCTTATGGAGGCCGAGAGCCCCCCAGTTTCAGTGCCTCCTCCACACTATGGAAAGTACTACAATAGCGTCAAGTTTTTGGCAATTCTCATTCCCATTCCTATCTACGGCTTGGATAAAACCTTCCTATTTCGTTGACTTGAGGAAGGTCGGGGATGGAAGAGTCACTCTCAGCCAAGTAGCTGTTGCTTTGTTTAGACTCACCAACAGATGGCTCACTGCACATTCTGGTAGCCTCAGTATTTGGTGACTGTTCGAGTCATGTTGTCATTCCTAGCGGAAAGGGAACTGGAAACCTCAGAAATAAGAATGGCATGTCTTTTCCAGCCATACTTCTCGGCTCATGTCAGTCTTGTATTATGTTTCCTCCTTTGCTCAACTTCCACAGGTATGTTGGGAAGTGTTGAGAGTTTTCCTTTGCTTTTCCCAGAGGCTATCGGCCTGCTGAACCTAAAAAATCCGGCCATGCAAGACCAGAAAACTCGATTCTATCCACAGCAAAAAAAATTGTGGAACCTACCTACTATCTCAGAGAAAGCTCGAGCATCCCGATGCCTGGCTATAGAGAAGATGTCACATGCCACTAGGGAACACAATAACATGAAGAGCCTGATATTCAACAGCGAGGGTACATGATAAGTCTTCCAGAAACGGAACATCAGTGACTTCTGTTCTTTCATTCACATGATGCACAAAGGTGTGTGCCCACAATTCCTACTCATCCAAAAGGGCGCTCGTGTGATCTCTTCGAGGTAGTGAGTGCCTCGAATGCTCATCACGACGGGTGGTTGTTACGATCAGCAACTCTCTAAGCTCCCACAGCATTACTCAAAGAGGACTAGGTTACAGCAAGCTTGGCGTGAATCTGGGGAGAACCCCTGTGATATCCGCCTGCTAAGGTTAAAATTGGACCCTTGTAATCTCCAGTTGGTGCCCACCAGGGGCATCGTGGCACGGCAAGCACGGCGGGCGCGGGCGCGCAGCTCAGCCCAGAACTCAGGAAGGGAGGCCCAGTCCTGCCTGCCATTTGAAGTTCTGCCCAGGTTATGAGGGCATCTGGCAAGTGCACCTGGCACAGCCCGAGGTGCGTCCCCCATGCATGCCACGGTCCACGAAACCCGTCCGCTGAACGTGACGGAATTGGTCGCCCAATCCGGCCTGACAGAAGACCATCTCGAGAACCACCAAACGTCGTTCAAGTCGGGGCCAGTGGGTGAGCCTTCACACCCTCGTCTACCCTCGTCTACCCTCGCCAACACTGGATAAGTCCCGTCGGATCCAAGTCATTCGCCTCGCCAGATAATGGTTGTCATCCTATGATCCTATGGTCCATCGCTACCTCATCACGCTGCGCTTGGCCCTACCGGTGATTAATCGCAGCACGCCCCATCGCTCCTGAGTTAACGTCTACTCCATCTGGTCGTCATCTGCAAACCGCTATTGCCCGGAACTTCGCTTTTTGATTTCCAATTTCTTCGATTTCATCAACCCCTCCACCCCTTCTTCCCAACTTCAACTCACCCTCCGGTTCTCCCCCCTTGCGACTGGATACCGTGAAATACACTCCCCGTCTTCCCTCAACGATTTTACCTTGCCATCCTGCGCAATTAGCCTCTGCCATCTTCCTCCGAAGCGAGTGACGCCGGTATCCCCGCAACTCGAGCCACCGACGACATAGTAGTGTATGCGAATGATCGGACCCACCGCCACCGACGGCTCGAGCAGCAGCTGGTCCCGATAAACTCGAGATCCCAGACGACATCGCAACGCCCGCTCCATCAACTTTAATACAACCATTTGGCTGCCAGCTCCAAGAGGCGTTCGTCGGTACATATTAGGCGTTCGCGGTGATCAGCCGCTCCTGATCCTACAATGCGCACTCCACGAGTTGCCATATTGGTCCTGTTCTTTTCCGCCTCGGTGTTTCTCTTTTGTCGCGCCATAGCGTCATCCCGCCGTGCGAGCCCAGCAGTTTCGCATCTATCACCTGAACCGTCGGGGTTGCGATCCTTCTTCTCCTTTAGAGCGCCCTTTACACTGTTCCCTCCCAATGCAGCCATCAGTCTCTTTGACGATAACAGCACCTTTTTCCCGGCGCGGCCTGCGATATTTGGGCCACCACTCCCGAAAGACGGGCTAAGTGGGCAACTTTGGGCAGGGAGTGGATTTACAGATGACAATCTCCAAGATGGCGTGGGTGAAGGCGAGCTTGGTTGCAGCGATGTGGTGGGGTGGGAGGGTGCGCCCGGCCGGCTGTCTATCAAGATGCCAAAGCAATCGCCAACAGGAGACACGACTGGCGGTACCACATCCGATCACAAAAGGTTCAAGAGGAGCAACATTGTTGGCGGTCCTGGAGTTGACCACAAGACCACCTCGAAAATACACTCAAGCAAATTGGACGTGGAAACGGTGGTGGATGATGGGACAGATGATTACCTACACCAAGGATTCCGAACAGACAAAGATGCTTTCGTCGACACTCTTACCAGTTCAAGCTCAGGCCATGCAGACATCCAGTCGATCCAAGAGACAGCCGAGATAACCGGCAAGATTGTGCTATTGAGCCGAGGCGGTTGTGGTTTCCTCGAAAAAGTGAAATGGGCACAGCGGCGCGGGGCTATTGCACTCATCGTTGGTGATAACCAAAAAGGCGGGCCACTCATTCAAATGTCCGCACGCGGTAATGTTGATAACGTTACTATCCCATCTGTTTTTACCTCTAGAACTACTGCCCACCTTCTATCCTCCTTGATGCAACCGGGAAGCTTCCTTCAAGATATTCTCGATGAGAGCGGTTATCCGGTTTCAAACGCCCAGCATTCAGGCAAGACCAAGAAAAGAAAATCGTCTAAATGGCCCACAAAGCACGCCAGGTCTCTCCCTGCAACAAACGCCAAACGACAGTTGACCAAGGTGACAGGTCCCCAGGGAAGCGTGTCAGAAAGTGGTGCTGAATCCAGCCCTTCGCATAGGAGCTGGTTTTCACGGCTCCTGCACTGGGGCACCGGGAGTGACACTGCAACTGATAAAAGCCGGCCTCCAAGCAGCGGGTCTTTGGATTGGGTCATAGTGGACGACTGGAGTGATGAAAAAGATAAAGTTATCAAAACCGGCCTTGACAAGGCTTCCAAGAGCAGTGGCGATGACTCTGCGTTGGGTTCAGACTCTGGCAGGAACCGTGAAGATGGCTTCCAGATTGGAGTTCAGGATTGGCGCGACCCTGATTTGGCTTCGTCTTCCTCCAAAAACAGCGCATCCTCTGCTCGCCTAGGTGGCGATAGTTCGGCCGATAATGAGCAACAGGGCGGTACTTCCGGTGCTTCCTCAAAGAAATCCGGCAAGACTAGTCAAAGTGATGGGACTGGACCTCAAGGAGGCAGCATTACTCCTGGCAGTGGCCGATACGACCCCGAGGCTTTAGCAGGCTCGCAGTCAGGACAACGGAACTCCGATTCGTCTCCAGGCTCCTCAGGTGGTTTGATGTCCAAGATATTTGGTGACGACAACGGCGAAGATTTCTTTCCCTATGAAGCTTCATCTTCGTACACCGAGAAACCGTCTCCATCTCCAGCTGCGCTCAACCGGGCGGGACATCACGAAGGTTTATGGATTACTATAACACCCACAAGCGGTGCCAGTCCATTTTTCGACACTCTTCTTGTTCTAGTAATCAGCCCTCTTATTACGCTGACAGTCGTCTACGCTCTTCTTATACTACGTGCCAAAATCCGTAGACGGAGGTGGAGGGCCCCGAAATCCGTCGTGGAACGTCTTCCGGTACGGACTTACCATACCGTCCCTCGTTCGCCAAGTCAATCGTCGCGGGTGCCATCTCCCAGCGGGGCTTCAACCCCTACGACACCACTACTCCAAGGACCATCTCGTTCATCTCGGCCAAGGTCCCGTACAACGACGGGAGTCCCTGAACACGCGGACTTGTTGAGAGTGGACAGTGCCCTGCAAGCGGCAAGGGTGCCGGCCCACGAGAAGGGAGCCACCCGCGCTAGCCAGTGGAAGAAGTACATGGGACGGCAGAGAGAGTGTGCCATTTGTTTGGAGGAGTACGTGGATGGTGTTAGCAGAGTAATGAGCTTGCCCTGCGGTCATGAGTTCCACGCGGAATGCATGTAAGTGACATCCCCCATATGCCCCTGAATACTCGAATTTATAGCATACTGACAACACAACAGAACGCCCTGGCTCACCACTAGGCGCCGCACATGTCCTATCTGCAAAGGCGATGTTGTCAGGTCCTTGGCACGAGGGTCTTCGTCTAACCCACGATACGAGCCATATCGCGATGACGATAGTGATGAGGATGACGGTGGCGAGGCTTCTGGATCCGGGGACCCCATGTTCAGATCCGACTCTCCGGCGAGAAACACAGATGTTGAACAAGGAAGGGCTGCGGCGTCAGCTCCCGAGAGAGGGCGCGACGGGTTTGATGTTAGCGATGGATGGTTCAGCGCCTTGTCGAACAGTCTCGGAGCTAGGCCCACCTTTCTAAGCCGGAGGACAGACAATTCGTGAGTTCGAACAAGCGCATTGATAGAGGGAAACATCTCGGGAGGTCATCATAGCATACGGATTTTTGGTTGGGACTTGGATCGCAGCGGTCCGAAGCTGTAGGGATGTTTATTACCTTTTGTGATACTGCATTTTACACAGACAACACAGGCAGAGAGCATTTGCGGGCATCGGATACAGACAAGCGTTGGAGGCAGTTCTCGAACTCAGGACGCAATGTTATCATCCCACGTTCGTTAATTGGCGCAATTAAGCAGATTGGTACTATGAAGTTGTATAACGTGCCTCTAATCCACGTCACGATTCGTGTGCGAAGAAAAAAAGGAGGGCACTGGTGTTGCGAATGCCTTTGATGACCCTGCCCAAGTGTTCGTTGCTGGGCGGCTGCTGACCGTTTCAGGCAACGGAATGCAGCTAAACACCACCGAGAGCATATTATTCGTTCTATTCAGTCATGGCTGAGAATAACCAACTCATCTTTCCTTCTCCTTCGTCCTCAAGAGTCAACGCAGGTGGTCTTGGCTAGCTTACCGAGAGATCACAAACCGGCCACGATCTAGTCCGCTGCAGCAGAACGGCACTTACGGATGCCATCGACGACCTGCCAACACAACACAGTCATTAGCATCCAAGCCTAGTCCCTGAGGATGTTAACGTAGGTGTGAGACAACAAGCCACAAGTATCATTTACGCATCAAAAGTATACGAAGGAGAGGAGAAACAGAGACTAAGGAGTTGAGGTCTTCATGTGTACCTGTATTTACACATGTTGAGCATGTTCATGGGTTTGACTGGCGTGGTGGTAACAGGAAGTAGCGGGGAAGGAGTGATGATGTTGAAATAAGCTACCGAAACAGTGAGCGACCAAGTTCAGAATGAACCTCTTGAGATTTTACACGGGAAGACCAAGCCGAATATAGCGCAACGAACGTCAAAATCAAGTTGCTAAACGTGTTGGTTCTTTAAAACGCGGAAAAGGAAGGATAAAATTGTGTCTGTTGGTGATGTTGAAGAAGGGGCATCTGCAAGGGTTAGGGTGGTTTTCCACACCGTGCTCACCTTGGTTATCACACGCTTGATCGGAGCACACCGAGACCATTGAACGTGCTGTCGTTCTCGCGATAACAACAAACACGCAATACAACAAACAGACTGCTCTTTCTCTTCTTTTAGGCAAAGGAAGGTGGGATGGAATAGTAGTGTGCCCATTATATCCTAATTTGATCTGTTCACTATTTGTTTGAGCGATCGCAATCGAAAGAAATCTACGTCGCTCTTTCTCCCTTCGTCAACCTCGACTCTCCTCCATCTCACTATCATTGACGGCCGCGACCCTGTACTGACAACACTTACTTCTGACCTTCACTTTCGCACGATGCGAAACACGCTTTATCATTGGTGACTCAACACCATTTGATTCTACAGACCAACCTCGGTTTTCTCGGTTGTTACCCCCAATCCATAGTGAGGCCCGGCGCCCATCGTTCGTTTCATCTACCGTCTCTCACATTCAACCATGGCACGCTACCTCACACCGGCCAAGATTGGCCTCCTAGCTCTGATTGAGCTTTACGCCGAAGAAGCGGTCCCCAATGACGCGATAATTCCTGTCCTGAGCTTCCTCGCCTCCCACATCCTCGACAGCGACCTGCAAAGCACGACGTCGACGTCTACGCCAGGCGCAGGCGCAGCAGCAAACCGGTGGCAAAGAGCTGAGCGCAGCATCGGACTGGTTGTCTCCGTCAAAGATTTTGAGAACCTTTTGCTTCCCTTTCCGGCGGTAGACCGACTGCCCGGCCGCCGTCTGTGGGACAGGTTTCTGGAGAAGCTGTGGGGCATCGATTCTCTCGATGCATTGCAAGAGTTCTTTTCCCTTCGGCCACGAGTGTTGGCACGAACCAGAGAAGAGTTGCGCCGGATGGCAGAGGCCAGAGAGGAACCCCCGTCGGGGATACTCTTGGCTCGGAATTCGCCCCTGGGGGCTTTCGTGAGGAAGGCCGTGTTGGAGTTCACGAGGTTGCAGTTCCACCACTCGGCGGAACTGTGGAAGGCGTTCGTCAAGTACCGCCAGCCTACGGTTGCTTACTGGAGGAGACGTAATCCGCAGTGCGGGAGACTCAGTTTCGACTCGGTGTTGATGGAGGGCCAGCATGAATGGGGGCCGTTCACGGATGGAATCGCTGTGACGGCGTACGGTGGTATGCTCATGGGCCAAGAAGACGACGCGCTACCGGTCAGCACGGATGACGTTGAGAGTCTCCTTGAGTTCCAGATTGATCAGATACAGAGTATGTTGCTCCTCCCTCACTTGCCTAAAAGAGTTGACGATCATTCTAACGACAAGCAGAGTATGGTGCAAGAGTACCTGCGGAGATCAAGGCGAAATTCCACGCCATGCTGAGAGACAGCCACGTTGTTCCCAGTCTGTCCCATTATTTAAAGTAAGCTTCCACTATCCAAAACCGACAGCTTCCGAGCGGATGCTAACATCTACAGCTTCTCGGATGCTTGGAGATCCGGTGACTATCCATCGGCGTTCGACTACCTCCACAGATACTTCGACTACACCATGCAAAACCGCGACCGTCTTTTCTACCACTACGCTCTCATGAACTTGGCAATCGTACAGTCAGACTTTGGCTGCCACAAGGAGGCGATGGCAACCATGCTCGAGACCATCTCCACCGCCCGAGAGAACAAGGACAACACCTGCCTCAACTTTTGTCTGAACTGGTTCTATCACTTCGGCCGAGCACACCCGGATCTCGTCCAAGATCTCGAGGCCAACAGCATGATCGGAAGCGGCAAGGAAGCCCTCGCCTTCCTCCGAGCGAAGGCCAAAGAAACCGGCATGCTCGTCCTCCGGAGTTCCGCTCTTCTCAGCGAAGCCAAGCTCAACATGGCCAACGGCGAAAGCATAGCCGGCGCCATGGAACACCTCGTGCGCAGCTCACAAATCATCGTCGAACGCAACATGAAGTCCCTCTTCGGCTCGCAACTATCCGTCACCACATCGCTCTGGGACCGCCTCGGCATCTCCTACCTCTCCAGCATGACCAGCGAGGTCTTTCTGCGCGTGCACGCCCCCAGCGCCTGCTTCGACGACGAGCTCAAGATGGTCTGCCGGCTAGCCGGCACCCTCGCCGGCAAAGGCAAGTACGACGAAGCCTTCGCCAAGCTCGAGGATGGCATCGACAAGAACGCGCTCCGCGCCGCCAAACCGAACCAGTACTGGCACCTCTACCGCGGGCTCGTCAAGCTGCGGCGCGACCTGCACCGCAACGACCTCGACACCGCTGAGACGCTGCTTGCGCAGCTGCTGCAGGTCGGCTCCGAGGAGCTTGATCCGGACGTGGTGTTCATCATCGACTCGCTGCACATCGAGGCGTTGATACGACGGAAAGATTTTGATGCCGCGTACGAGAAGATCGAGCGGCTGGTCGCCAAGTTCCGCGATGACCATCGAGATCTCTCGCTGCGTATTCGGCTGCTGTTGGTAAAAGCACACTTGTTTGATGCCATGGGCATGCCGGAGCGGGCGTTCTCGATCACCATGCGTGCGGCTAGTCTGGCGTGGCGGGCACGGCTGCTTACACTCCTGTGGCAGGCTGTGGGCGCTCTGGCAAATATTCTGAACGCGATGGGTGAGTTCCCCGCTGCTGTACAGCTCGTGGAAGCTGTGCTGCCGAGATCGATGGAGTCGGAGAATGCCTTCAACACAGGCATGCTGTACAGTATCCTAGCGGACGCCAGGATGGGGCAGGCTGGAAAAGCTGGAAAGGCTGGGCGGGCGGCGGCGACGACAACGACAAAGGGCGAAGTATCAGGACTGGCAGCGTCAAGCGTGACGAATAACAACAAAAGAGACGTACTCTTTAAGAAGGCAGATGAAGCGCTAGAGTGTGCATACAAACACTTCTCTGCGGCGGAAGATCTGGAGAAGCAGTGCGAGACGCTGGCGAAGAGGGCGACGCTGATGAAGGTGCTGGGAAATCATGCTCGAGCGGAGGAGTTAGCAGCGCGGTATATGGGTTTGAGGAGGGAGAGCTCATCGAGGGATTATTCTGGATTGTGATGGACGCATGGAACAAAGGGGGTCTTATAAGCCATGAGGTGTTTTTGGACTGGGCTCAGTGAAGCTCCACCCGGACGCCCGTATGGTGTAATTCGGTTGTAATGATTTATGAAGAATGGACAAGATACTGTTGCTGGCCATAGAGTCGGATGTTCGTTTTCATCGATAGAGTCTCGGATGTGTGCCCCTTGGTTTTATGTGTTCAAACTCCTAGTTCAAATGGATGAAATCATAGGAGCTCTCTGAGACTTTGTCTTCTGATGCCACCCAGCATAGGAAGTGAAGCAGGCAGACTTCTTCTCTAGACATAAGATTTCACAAGGAATAAAACAAAACAATAGGAGTTGTCAATCACATGGCTTGCCAGGGGCCCAATCTCACGATGCAGTAAAAAGGATATAATCATTTGAGGGTCGGTGTATGCAATGGTGCTTCAAGCACTCTTAACGTCCTTCCCTTCCGCATCTTACTATTCACAGTTTCGCTCCGCCTGCTCTAACTGCATGCTAGCTGTAGTTTGCTTCCTGTCCCGTCTCTCTTTGTATTCCAAAAATCCAGGGATGATGCCAGTCTAGCAAGCAAGGGCAGACGTGGTGGTCGTGAAGCTCGCATTAACAAGCCACTTACGTAACCTTGTCGCGGTTGTGGTAGTTGACAGAGTCGTTCCAGCTAAACGGGGTTCGGCTCGGTTAGTTACTTGTTGCCATAGAGCAATGGGAGCTCCATGGGTTCGTCCAAAGCTTCGTCGCGAGGTTTCGGGTGGGTTGTAACACGTACAAGAGAGTCTTGTCACCATCGCCCCAGGGGTAGTTGCGGGTGCGGATGTTCTGGTAGGGGTACTCGGTGCGCTCCTCAAGAGGGGGGAGGTGGGACCAGTGCTCCCAATGCTCGTTGTAGAGGGTGTAGGCGTTGTAGCCGGCGAGGGCAAGGGCAGGGGGGATGCCGCTGGGAGAGGGAGAGTTTCGTTAGCTTATCGTGTTCCCGTTCCCCTTTTTTCTGTCCCACATCCATCAAACATTCGTCCCGTGGGTGTTGACTGTTGGTCCACCTCTTCGTTCTTCTCCTCGGCGGTGCGCGTCGGCTATGACGCTGTTGTCATGCGTTCGTCGTTGAAGTCGCGCATGCATTGGAGCTCGGTGGAGCTTCGTTCGAGCTACATGAAGCTCCAGCTCTTTCAGAGCTCGGGGGGATCCATCCGGGAAAAACCACGCAATAGGGATTTGGGGGAAGGGAAGGGAATGCGCATACTAGAGAGAGATCTTGCGCCAGAGCTCTGTATGGTGACTCCCGGTTAGCATTCCCGTCCATTCGATATCCGGGGTTGGCAATTGGCAAGGGTGGGTGGTGGGTTAGGGCGCACCAGTGGTCTCAGCGGCGTGCTGCTTGACGGCCTCACGCTCACGGACGAAGGCGTTCTTGCCGGTGCCGGTGGCAGGGGTGCTGGCGAAGCGGCGCTGGACGGTCTGGCGGACCGCGGGGGCACGGAGGTTGGCGGCGAGGCGCGCGAAGAACATCTGGCGTTGGGCGAACATGGTGTCCGTATTCGTTGTGTGTCGATTACAGGTGGTGTTGGAGGAGTGGTAACGAGGTGGATGCGGAATCAGCACAAGCAAAGGTTGTAGCAATGAGGCCCACTTTTTCCCTCCTGCGCTTGGCGGCTTCTCGTGACTCCGGGTGCGAAGTGAGGTCAGAGACCGATCAGCTCATTGCTCGGCTCGACCTCGGGTGGGTGGATTGCGGCTGCTCATTAAGTGTGGCTGGAGCGCGAGGACGTTCCCGTCCACATTCCACAAACGGTCGAATGACGAAAGCTGTGTCTTGGCGGTGTGCAGCTGCCTGCCAGCCTGTCAGGTGACTTCGTGTGCTCGAGAGGGTGGACCCCACCATTCAAGTGCGCAATTCGAACGCACGGGCCAGGCGTTCGCATGTGGGCGGCGCGAACTGGTCGACGTCGTTTGTCATTTTGCCGCGTTTGCGTCGAGTGGTGGCAAACTCCAGGAGACTCGAGAATCGAGGTATCGGTCCCTGTAGCGATGTGAGGGAATGATCATTGTTCCAGGTAACAGTTTTGTCGGTTCTATCCTGCTCAAGATTCCAAGACCTGAACAATTGCTCTTGAACAGTCAAAACTGAGACGACATCCCATGTCCCTCCTGCTTTTCGTATGGCCACAGCACTTCCCAACACCGCATCCGGCGACCCAAGTGACTCTATTGTACCCCTAACCCTGGCTGTATGAGTACAGCTCCCTGAGCATCACCGAACGAAAGATCTGAAAATGGGGTTGCGGATCACGACGTGGAATGGTGAGGTCCTCTCGCGTGTTTTTGCTCCGTCATGCCTTTTCTAACTCATATGTGTAGTGAATGGCATCAGGTCAGTCCCGACACGACAGGTTGTCACCATGAGCCAGCTCTGACCCAATTCAAGAAATCCATTCAGTTACCAGCCATGGCGGGAGAACCGCACGTTCCAGTCCATGTTCGACACCTTGGAAGTCGACATTGTGGTTATGCAGGAAACCAAGATTCAGCGAAAAGACTTGAGAGATGACATGGTCCTTGTCCCCGGCTGGGATGTGTACTTCAGCTTGCCCAAGTACAAGAAGGGTTACTCGGGAGTTGCTATTTACACTCGTTCCTCAAAATGCTGCCCGGTACGAGCCGAAGAAGGCATCACTGGCGTGCTGTGCCCCCCGAACTCGTCCACAAAGTTTCGCGACCTGCCCGCCGATCAGCAAATTGGCGGTTATCCCACTCCCGGTCAACTCTCCAGCGACGTAGACGAAGCTCAACTCGACTCCGAAGGAAGATGTGTCATCTTAGAGTTCCCTGCCTTTGTCCTCATCGGCGTATACAGCCCGGCTACGCGAGACGAGACCAGAACCGAGTTCCGTCAGGCTTTTATCGACGCCATGGATGCCAGAGTCCGTAACCTCATCGCCATGGGCAAAGAAGTCTTTCTCTGCGGCGATCTCAACATCATCCGTAATGAGATGGATACCGCCGGCCTGCCAGAACGGCTGAAAAAGGAGGCCATGACACTCGACGACTTCATCTCGACCCCTTCACGCCGCTTCCTGAACCAAATCGTATTTGGTGGCCGAGTGATCGGTGAGCCGGACGAGGGACGAGAGAAACCCGTTCTTTGGGATCTCTGCAGAGAGTTCCATCCAAGACGTCCGGGCATGTACACGTGCTGGGAGACAAGAAAGAACGCAAGGCCTGGCAACTATGGCAGCCGGATTGACTACGTCCTCTGTTCATCCGGGATCAAAGACTGGTTCGTCGACGCCAACATCCAGGAAGGTCTCTTGGGATCCGATCACTGCCCTGTCTATGCCACGATCAGCGATACTGTCACCAGGGATGGCATCACCATCCCCATCACAGACCTTATGAACCCGGAGGGCATGTTCAAGGACGGCCAGCGCCAGCGTGAATGGTCCCAAAAGGATTGTCTGCCTATCTCAGCGAAGCTTATCCCGGAGTTCGACCGACGACAAAGCATCAAGGACATGTTCTTTAAGAAGAAAACGCCGTCCACCACACCCAAGTCAGCCACCGCAGCCGCCGACGGCCAAGACACTATCGATCCAACCAATACATCTTCCACCACAGCGAACGCCACTAATGCACTACAGGAGGCTGCCAGCTCCGCACCATCGTTAAAGACGTCGTTATCCCAGTCAACAACAACCGAGCCAGCATTATCGCGAACATCCCCCATTCCAAAACGACGGGCGGAGCAGCCTGCACCAGCTGCTAGGCCATCGAAGAAAGCCAAGGCGACCCTCTCCAAGCAGCCATCCTCGAAATCCGTGCCCGGCCCATCGCAAAGTACACTCATGGGTTTCTTCAAGCCAAAGATCCCAACTCCAAGCGTCAAGGCGGAGGAACGACCTGCCACTGCAGACGTAAATAATTACTCTCCCGAAACGATAGCAGACACAACAACGGGAGACAGGTTATTTCCAGAGAAAGCCGGCCAACCAAGTTCATCCTTTCAGACCGACGATATCGAAGACTGGGACGAAGACGCTGTCGCATCCAAGACTAGCCCGACCACACACAAAACAACCACCGCCGCCATGGATGAAGAAGGCAAGGTCTTCGACCCCATCCAGAACAAAGAGTCATGGTCCAAGCTGCTCGGCAAGAGGGTAGTTCCCAAGTGTGAGCACGGCGACGATTGCATGAGCTTGGTGACCAAGAAGCCGGGGATCAACTGTGGTATGTGATATCGCTATTTTCATTCTCTGTCTCCCTCGTTCGATTGCTCTTCCTCCCTGTGTGCCTGCCCTCAACTACCCTGATAATCACAAGCTAACTCTCCTGGCTCTCGTCTCGTTACAGGTCGATCTTTCTACATGTGCGCGCGACCCCTTGGACCATCCGGCGACAAGGAGACAGGAACAGAGTTCCGGTGCAAGATGTTCATATGGAGCAGTGACTGGAGTGGGCGGCCGGAGCAGTAGATGGTCTCAAGCTCGTGTTGGACGGCATCACAAGGGACTAGCATGGGAAGGGGAGATAGAGGTGTTGTAGATGTTGACAATGGATGGTTGTTTATATCAGAACATTCATCTTATTAATGATCGAATGCTATTGTTTGCCTCTTCATGTCATACATGCGAGTGAATACCATGTTCGTTTGCTGTTACACAGCTACTCCTCCGCCTCGTGGTTTGTGGTTAGGGAGACGGGCCGCCGCCATTCACGGGTGATACAAGATGTCCAACGTCTTGTTCAGTCCCCTTGCTGCGCCGCGCGGGAAGCAGACAAAGCAACGAAGTCCAGCTGATGGAAGGACAGGACAGGTTTAAGCATAACCGACACCAGCAAGCAAGCATAACTAGACTGTGTCAAGGGAATGAAATGTCACACGGTCACACGAGCGAAGACACTGGGTGTTTTCTTTATAATAATACTGATTTCTTTGTGTTTTTGTGATCTATCTATGCGATCGGTGCGAGCGAAAAATGCTCCTGAGACTTTGATGAACGAACCATGATATGCGCCAGCCACCCCGCGCTCCTAATATGCGAGCAACAAAAGAAAAAGAAAGACCAAATACTATAAGACCAGAAACACCGAGCCCCCCTTGGATATCATTGACCAATGCTCCATGTAAGAACCATACCAGACCCTGCCCATCCCTGATGCGAAAAAGACAAAAGCCAAACCCATTATGCTCCTCCGCTATGTGACTTGTGTGGCACCGTAAAATGTCTTTTACCGAACTGAACCGAAATGCGAATAATGTGCACAACTACCATGCTGATTCCTGCTGAGAAAAGACTGTCGAACTGTCAGGTCCCAGATTCTGACCGGCCCAGCGCCTATGTCGCACCGCCCGTTGTCACCTTCAGCTAAGATCCCACTCCGAAGAGGGAGAAAAGTTGAGATGTCGAAGGCGAGAGAAAACGCCAACAGTATGGATGAGTCGGTGCCAATGAGAGACAGGTGCCGAACTGTCGAGGAAGATATGTTGTTGTTCTTGCTGTGACTTTGACAAAAATAGAACGAACCAAGGAAAATGCGAACGATGAGAGAAAACGAAACCGAGACCCGTTGCTGTGTGTGCCATATCCATGCCGGTACCCAAGTCTTGTCGTCGTATGCAGAAGTCTGATGGCCAAATCCAAGAAGGACGAGGCAGAGGTAACTTTGCGGTGATGTCAAAACTGAGATCGAGATGCTGATTGAAATGGCTGATCACATAGACGGATCGAGACTGATGATGTTGCTGAACTGCACTAATAAATGTGCCAGAAGAACACCAGCTGGTCCTTTGGTCACAGCAACATCGACCTCAGTCCTCAGTATCCATGTTTTCGCTGGCAGGCGGGACATTGACGAGGTGATACCCCTGGTGACCGGGTGTTTGAATGTGAACCGAATTTCTACTAGCAGAAGGCGTGACCGTGGCGTTGGCGGGAATGGTATGGACGCCGTGAGGGTGAACGGGCGTATTAGTGTTCACAGTGGAAATGAGCGCTGGGTTGATGGTATCGTCAGCCATGACCGGATTGACGGCAGGCGTAGCGGTGGCAGCGGCGGCAGCGTCATTGATATGGACCTAGGTGATCATGTTCTGAATGTTTTGGGTGATTGCCTGCACGCTGTTGGGGTGACCAAAATCCAGGAGTGCGTGGACGTTGGCGAGAGCGGGGGAAGGGTTTTGGGTAGCGGTGCCCCAGAGGTGTTCATTCATGGGAAAGAAACCGTCCAAGGGGTCGTTGAAGTTAAAGAGCGTACCCTATGCTGCCTCATCTTCCTCAGAGATGGGAGTGGCATCAACCGTATAGCGAGGCATCCATGTGTCTACGTTGGCGGCGCGAAGCTTCCTAGATCCTGCGACAGGACGGCAGACAATTCTGCAACCTTCGTCTGTTTCCTCGACACGGACGACTCCATGGAAGTGAGTGCGGATCAGCGCGGCATCCTCGGCGTTAACGGTGCCCCAAAGAAGGTTGCCGTTGCCGTCATAATTGAGGAGCTTGATCTTGAGATACGGCGAAACGCGCCTGCGAATGTCCTGAGACCGACGGGGATTGTACCGATAGTCGGGATTGTCCAGCAACAATCTAGCCTTGATCTCATTGGCCATGCTGAAATATTTGTCGCGAATGTGCGGCTGCTCATCACGCCACATGTTGCCAACAATGACCGCTAAGTGAGGTTAGTCTCAGGGTCAACCAATATAGATCATAGTGACAGGAGACCTACATATCTCATTGTTGTGCAGTCCAGGGTTCTGTTCGCGGATCTGACGATGATGGTCCTTGCGGTACAAGATGTAGGCATTGGGCGGACGAGGAATCTTGGCCTTCTTCTTCTGCTGCTGCTTGGGTGCCTCAGCATGGATGCCCTTGGGATCCCAGAACAGATTGCCCTCAACGACGACACTATCGGGCTTGAACAGCTTGACGGGGCCAAGCAGCATGATCTCCAGTGCCTCGGTATCGCGAGCAAACATGCCCTCTTCACCAGTCGCTTTCCTAAAGCAAATGGTCAGTACAAGGTAAGGTGAGAGATGGGTGAGGACACTTACTTGTATTCGGCGACGATGCCAGCATGAATGTCAGGGTGGGCGATAGTGAAGTCGCTCAGAGGAATGGCAATGATCTTGCGGTCGTTCCAGTGCCCAAGTTGGTTCGAGATGCGAGACCAAGCCATGGTGGCCCTGAGTTCCGCTGACGTCGGAGCGGGGTGCATCAAGTTGTCTTCCATTGTTTCGATGGATTGTCCGTTGATGATGATCAAGGCAGATGCTTGAGATTGTCAAAGACTTGGGCAATTGAAAGTGGAAGGGGGAGTGGGTTGATTGCGAAGATTGGTCCTGGTTGTCGACTATTGTTGCGATGTAGACGGAGGAATGTAAGGAGTGGGAGAAAGGAAGAATTGGAAGGGAGGGAGATTATAAGGAGGGGCAACGACGTCGGGATTTTTGGTTGGAACCGCTTTGTTTATTGACGGTTATTGACACGGCCCTGAATAGCAGTCACTGGGCGGTGAATGGCTCGGGGATTCGATGTAAGCCCTATCATTGGCTGTAAGGGCTCTCTTTTGGCAAACTGGTTGTCATCCCAAGTCACCGGTAAGGTCCAGCCCTTGCTGTTTTGGGCCTGAATAACTTTTTTCTATTCAGAGGGAGGCCAACGGCTGGGAGTGGGGCAGGAGACGTTTTGTGGCGTGGTTCTCATTCACTGAATCTAGGAGGTTGAGGGACTTGGCAGCTTGCAAATTGAAGTGAATGGAAGTTCACCAAATATTTTAAACGGCGATCATTTCGCGAGTCGTCGCCATGATGGTTTTGGCGGTTCAGACATTTACCATCGTCCTCAGCAGCCTGCATGGCGAGCGCTGACCAAACAGATATCAGGCGAGAATGTCTGGGTTGTTTTTGTTTTGGCATCCGTCCTATTTTAGAGATTGCATCATGCTAGTTAGAATGCTGTAGCGCTGAAGGTTCAATTGTACGAGGGCAAATTGCGAACAAACGTGGGTTTGAAGCATAACCATCTTGGAGGGATCTTGACTCAACTAGGCTTGCCTACTTGGTTACGTTGTTGAGCATTACAGATGCACAAGCAAGAGTGTCTCGAGAAGGCATTCCCTGTGAGTATGTCCCAGTTTCCCCATTCCATCATCATGAGGCCAACTGGGAACGTGCAGATTGCGACACTTGTCTCATTAGGGGCAACCATGAGGCAAGCCTCTTCGCCAAGTACGTCGCTAACGGGAGTCAGTTATGAGCTACGAAAGAAAGTTTGTTGGGTCAAGACTCACGCTGCGTTTTCCATTGCGTAGACAAGATCCTCCTCGGCGAAATCGGCCAGATGGGACCTGAACAGCATCACCTGAACCCTGCCAAAGTGCAAGGCGGTCACAGGGTTGAGACCGGGCGCGATGTCGCTGATTATGTCAACGTCTGGGGCAGACATGCTGAAAGTGCGGTGCAGACGACGACTTCTGGTGTGCTTCGATGCGGTGATAGATTGGATGGGATAGACGAAGTGTAAGAAGATTGACGTGAATGAACGTGAATGACGGCGGGACTGCTTTTGTTGGAGAACAGAGTTGACGAGTGTTGTGTCGGAGAAAGGAAGAGCGGGCTTTTGTTAATGTATTGAGCAGGTATTTGTAGGCAATCCAATCTGCACTGCGTGCGGTCAATGTCATGGTGAATGGCAGACCAATTATCTCCCGCAGCACATCATCCTATTGTTCGCGGGTACGGGTGCGCATTTTTACTGTTGTTGCTGTGGCTTGCCAGCTGTACACCTTTACGTGATTGGTCAAATTGACAGTTTCCCTAAGGTTGGCCGGGAAAACAATAGGAAGGATTTGGGATGAAATGTGGTATGCGATGTCCCTCAAGTCAAGTGACCTCTGCCAACCTCACGAGAGAATAACAAGAACTCGGGACAAAATTTGGCATGTAATACCCCACAGGTCAAGTGATACCCGCCCCAAGTCTCACAGGAGAACAATAGGACGGACCTGAGATTGAAACCGGCACGCAAGCCGCCCGAAAGAGTTTGGGAACCTGAGTCCTTAAGTTGTTCACTTCTTCGAAACGTCCTGTCGAGAAAACTTCTCCTGCCACCCAGCGGTCGTCTTGTAGCTTCCTCGAGCACTCACTGTTGAGTCTTCCTTTTCGTTAGCGACTGACATGGAGCTCATCAACACGCAACGCACCTCGGGCCAGAAAGGCCAGGATCTCGAAATGGTGTACAAGGTAACAACATGTCTACCCTGGATACACTCATTTACTTATCACTGATGAACTGGCCAGAAACTCCATCAGTTACAGGCTAGGCTTTCTCGTTCACACCTTTCAGAGGCAATCAAGGAGTTCGAAGAGAACCTTCAGTGTCTTTTTCATGAAGCCAAGATCTTGCTATGCACGAAAAGAACGAAGTATCGCCAAAGCTGGTTTGGGTCTAGCAACGAGTTCGGGCCTAACAACGAGGAAAAAATCATCAAGGCAGCATGCTGCGTCATTGAGTCGACAAACATGATTCTCAACTTCCTCTCGTTTCTCGAGAAGAAACGAGGATTGCCATCAGGTGGAGATCAAAGACTCCAACAAGCTGCCTACAAAGGCCAGCAGTTTGCAACGCGCCTGCTTCGCTCACTTACAATTCACAAGGATGCTCAGGAGATTCCCGGAAAGGAATTTGGCCTGGTCTGCGGAAAAGAGGTGCATGTGTTGGGTGGTCACGTTGTGCGCAGGTCAAAGCGAGATGTCGTGGGGCAGGCGGGGGGAGTGAACTGGCATGTTGACCATACACATCACCCTTTGAGGCGCGTTCCAGGCACTCCATGGCACAAGTTCTTTGGCAATGTGGAAGTTGAACCCAACAAGCCACTTCACCTCTTCGGTGATTTCACGTCCCCCAAGAGTGATCGCAATGGCCATCGAAAGTTTCCTGTGATCATCCCTGAAACTGCTATGTTTATTCAGGACGAAATTAGCAGCGAGCATCAGCAAGTGGCTACAATTCACACAGAGGTGAGTCCTTCAATGTGTTAAAGGCTGCAAAAAAAGAAAATCAAAAAAAATTCAACACTGACACAAGATAGAATGAACACGCCCAGCCGCCAGCACTCACGCCAATTGAGCAAGATGTAAGTTTCTCCATCTCATTAAATGGTTATCAACTAATATATGACAGGATCGCCTTAAGAAGTTGGACTTCGCCATGACAGCATCTTCTCCTGGCTATGTTGCAGAAGGACAACCTGAGGTAGTGTGGCATCATGGAGGCTTACGCGAGGTTTGCAATTCCGCCCACTGCTCACGGATGACAATGTGCTAACAACCAATTGACAGTTTGTGGATTACAGCCAGGAGCGCCAGTTTAGTATTCTCTCCAAGGTTTTCGCTCGACCCGCTCTTTGGGGGGATATTCTGGGTCTTGCGGATCACTTTGACCCTCGAGAGGGCGTGCAGCAAGAGGAGCACGTTTATCACATTTGATGGAGGTGGTAAAATCCGCGGCTCGTACGTACATGCTAGTTTCAATCAAAGAAAGTATATGAACCATGATTCGATCAGATTGCTTTCACTTTTGTTCTTACCAAGTCCACAAAGCTGCCCTGTCTTATGTAATCCAACCCGTTTTTGAAGTTCCGCCCCCAAGGCAGCAAACCTCCTCCCCACCCCGTCCTCGCCCCGGTCGTCGCGCAGTGAAGGGAGAGAAGCCGCCCCACCCAATTCACCGACCAACCCCCATGCCTCTTATTTAAGAAAGCCCAGTTCATCTCTTCCACTTTCACCCCCTCCCACCACCTTACCTCGAACATCAACTTCACAACCTAAATCTCGGCTGCACTTCCTCGCGTGCTGAATGTTCCCCAATCAGAACTCAACAACCAGAAGTACGATGTCCAGCGTCGATCAAATCGTCAAGACGTTCGCCAAACTCCCTGAGGGCGAGCGCAACGCAGCAGTCAATGCTATCTTAGCCATGATGCCCCCCGGCCCTGGTCCTGTTCGCCAAATCCCCGAACCTGTTTCACAAGCCCCCGCGCCAAAGAAGAAGGTCAACGGCTTCATGGGTTTCAGATGTAAGTCAAATCTGAATCAATCTTGACGACGATCCATACTGATTGCCTTTCTGTTTCAGCGTACTATTCCCCGCTCTTCTCTCAGTTTCCTCAGAAGGCGCGATCGCCCTTCATGACCATCCTCTGGCAGCACGATCCCTTTCACAACGAATGGGATTTCATGTGCTCGGTGTATTCGTCAATCCGCAACTACCTCGAGCAGTCGAACGCGCAGCGGGAGAAGAAGATTACCCTGCAATACTGGCTTCACTTTGCTGTCCCCGTCATGGGAGTGCTTGGTCGCGAAAACTACTTGCCCACGCTTGGCTGGGACCTCGTCACGATGCCCAACGGCACTATCGACCTTATGCGCATCGCTATGCCTTTGTTTAGAAAGAACCTCCAGCCCATGAACGGCCTATGCCTGTTCACCAAGTGTCAGGAGGGCGGATTGCAAGTCGACAACCAGCACCTCGTCATTGCCAAGCTTTCAGATCCTAGCTACGACATGATCTGGTTCAACAAGCGCCCTCACTATCAGCAGAGACACGCCGTCCAAGCTGACAGTTCTGAACTCGGTGTGTCGGCGCTCTTCCCTCGCAATCACGCAGTTGCTGCAGAGGCAGATGACGTCGCCACTCTTCAACTCCCTCATTGGATGCAGCAGGGAGATTTCGGCACCGAGTCCGGATACTCACCTCAGTTTGAGACCTTGTTGGGTTCCATACTTGAGAATGGAAACGCCACCAGTAATGATTCCTACAACATGGCTCTGGCTATGGATGTTCCTATGATGGGTTAGTGGATGATGAGGTGCCATGTCACTTAGCTTTACTCGTGTGCTGACGATTTGGCAGGATTCAATGGAGGAGCATAGAAGTACGGCACAGTCACAACTTTCCTTTCCTTTCCTTTGTCAAATCTGGTTTCGTGGTATGTGCATACAAAGCGATGGCGAAAAGGGTCTAGTTAGGTTTCTTTGTGCATTCATTCGGGGCAAGTCATGAGACTTCAGGATCCAATGGGGCGGAATGGGCAATTATTCGGCAAGGAGACAGGTAACCGCCTAGGTCTAGATGGCAGGATCAAATCAAATCGATTGAAACCAGCGACGTCCACCATCTGATCTGGGATGGCCTTCACTAGTGAATCAATTGAGCGTAAAGCGTCTACGGTATCATTGCCGGATTTGACATGTCGTCGAGATAAAGCTATGGCCCGCCGCTGACGCCAACGCTTATGCATGCAACCTCACGCTAGCGCGGTTCCGTCGCGAAGCAGTGTGCACTAAATACATTAGTGTACAAGACGTACCCCTCATTTATGGATCCGTGTCCCAAAGTTGCCTCGTGTTGCTTTGAGGTAACTTGCGGCTTCTGGGAGATCCGCATCAGCCCCAGCTGCTTCCCGTCCAGGTCTCTTTGTACAAGGAAGGTACAAGAGATGTACATTCTATTCGAGAGAGTTAGCATCCCGTCAAGGTTTCGCGCCGGCTTCAAGTACGGTAGCCATAAGGATTCATTATCTGGAGGAAGAACCAAATCTCATCATCGTGCGTTTGTAATCGTTGTCGTTAATCGTCATGTCCCTAAAGCCATCCCCAGTAGTGTACAATCTGTCTTGAGCAATTGCACAAGACGGACGCTGGATCCTACACTCACCCGGAGCTTCCGCTTTTGACCAATAATATCGTATTCTTGTTTTCAGCTCCCTTGCATTCCATGTGGAGCCCCGTGCGTACTGCATACAGGATATCATGTGTGCCTTCGGTATCTGTACTGTGTCTGCAAGAGCGTACACAAGTGAATACCGAGCATTACGACGCATTACGCTAGGTAGTATATAAAACTTTATAGTATGAGACAGATCATATAATAGTTCTCCACAAATAGTTGTTGAGTAGCTTGATATTTCAGGCTACTGGAAACAGAGGTCGAATGTACTATTAAGTCTGCCCTAGGGAATTTTCTTACTGGGCAAGTCTAGTGTAGCATCCACAGGCACTTTCCGGATGTAACCAACACGTCCGGGTAGAACCCGGAAATGTATCAACGTGTGCAACATACTAGTGTATAAAACAGGCAGAACCATGGATGATTACGCGTTCTGTTTGATTCCAAATTTCATACTAATCTTCGAGGTGGTCTTGCTTGTCCCTAATGAACTCTCAAAAATGATATGTCAATCAGTGGCGTGGCAGGCGGAGTGTTTGCTAGTATGCTTGCTTAGTCCGTGGCTTGGAATTGCTAGCGAGATCGCCTGACTTGCAAACATGTCTTGTGTGTGACTGCACACATGCTTGACGGTCAATCCTATTAGCTCAAAATTTTCATTCTGCGATATGAAATCTCGTAACTCGTGTAATACTTCCGAGCGGCTAGTTGGAAGGAAAGCTTCTACCGAAGTTTGTGCCTACCTCTACGGATATAAAATCTGTTTTCACTCTGTGTCTTCACATTGTCTGTTGATGCATGATACATGAAGCCTGTTTTGCTTATCGTACCAAATTTTGACTTTCTGTATACCAGAAGAATACGGATCTAGAGTCCGTCCTTTCAGAGTCGGATGTGTAGTACATAGGCTCAGAGTGCTTACAAGAAAAGGAACATGTGTGACTACGGTGTTTCATCAGGTAAAAAGATATATCTGCTTCTGTGAACCGTAGTTAGCTCACGTACCTAAATTCCAGGCTCGTTAAAATACCAATGATACCCTTTCTGATTTGAGACGGCTAGATGACAATATGCCCGCAGCCCTTGTTTTCAGATTCGCTGTCGAGTGAAGACGGTGTTAGACACTGGATCAGTACCTGTTTTAGGCTTCCACCTTACCTTGTGGTGTGCAAGCGGACTTACTAATATGTGTGGGGTCGAGATCCAAATATGCGTCGGTCCCACACGCCATACTTGGTCTGACCTTTTCACTTCTGGTCACCCTAGATCTTCTTCTCCAATGCCGTATAAACTCGCGAAAACTGGGATCCAGGATGGTGTGTTAAAGATCTCCAACAACTACGATCCATACGCTGCATGACGGCCGCAAAAGCACATGACATACTTCCTCGCGGTTTCGTTACGGCCTGGATTCCTATTGTCGTAAGTCTAGAATAGGTACTTAAACACAATGAGTTCATCGTTGAAATACTCACAGATCCAGAACTAAATGTAGTTTTGCGCAGAGACTCCGTCCACTTCCAACCCCTCCACCACCAGCACCACCTCCTTAACCTGACGCGCCTCAGTCTACCTTACCATCCTACATACGACAACCCAGGACCCTCAAACCCAAGCCCCAGCGCAAAGGCGAGCACACGACCACCAGGAGAGCGATCCGATACTATCACAGCCAGTAGCGGCGGTTCAGGCAAGCGAGGCCAAGGACAGTGGTGGACTTGGGATTTCGGATGTCGGATGTCGAACATCGGATCGATTCATGGAGGATCAAACAACCAGGATGGAACCAGAAGGAGGAAGAGAAGAGGGAAATGGGACCATGATCGAGAACGCAAGGAGATATCGCTCTTGGACATCGCAACCTTCTATCCGCGCCGACCACCACTGGATCCAAAATCTGGAACCTGGCACTGGTAAGGTATCCATCCATTCACCATCCATCCAAGCGATCAGCTAGTACGACAACGGCGACCACGACTCTGAAGCAGCACCGGGGCGACAAGAGACAAGCGCCAACCCACCGAGGGAAGGAACCGGGATATGCTGGCGGCTGGACATCAACATACCCTGCCAGTGCGAGGATGGGGGAAAAAACGGGAAAAGCAACAAGGAGGGCGATAAAGAGAGAGAAGCCAAGATGAGACAGACTACATCTATCAAGAAGAACACGCGGACGGAAAGGGGAAAGAGGATTAGAGGGAAACAGAAGTCTTGAACCTGGAGAGACAACTTAACGACAGGACGAAAAAAAAGTTGACCGACCGGGTAAGGAAGAGGGCGGGGACAACGAAACTTGACTTGGACTCTTCTTCCAGACTCTAAATATGTTTTCTCGCCATCCAGAAATCAAGCCTTCCGCTTCATGAACGAAACGAAACAGACCGACCGACCGACCGACTGAGAACACATCCACCGAACGAAAAAAGACTACGACGCGAACTCTCGGATGGGAGGGAGAACGGGAAACTTCGAAGCCACTGGACCGAAAACGAACAACTTTTTTTGCGAAACAAGAAGCAAAATGACGTACGGAAGCCGACATGATGACAGCAGGAGTGGCGTTTGTCCTAGGTGATACGAAAAAGCCACCCAAAAGTGAAGAGGACACAGATCCGAGGCCAAGGCCATTCAGTTCACGACTGAGCAGACGAAGAAGGACAAGGTAAGTGGAATTAAGTTTAACACTAACACCTGATGACATCTCCAAAAAGGGAATGCGGAACTAGGTACAGAGGGGTACATAGCACATTGCTAAGATATAAAGACGTCTGATGAAAACTTTGGAAGATATTGCGGAACCGAGAACAAGATAGGGGAAGCGAATATCGTCGGGCGTGTGTGCTCACGGCGCGCACTGAAGCGTGAAGCCAGCGAGAGGAATGAAGAACCGAGTATGCCACAGCATCGCCACGTATTGCAGGACGATTAATCCTCGTCTTGCTGATACGAAATCTTGCGCATCTCGCCGAGTCTGTAGCGAGCAGCGTTGAGTGCATTTTCGAGTTGGAGGATTTCGACCTGTGAAAGAGAAAAACATGATTAGCAACAAACGATCATCAGGAACAACAGAAGATAGACGGAATTAGGAGAAATACGTACCTGTTGCTCCATCTCGCGCACCTTGAACTCATGCGACCCAAGCTTGCTGTAGTCCACTTGCTCGTCATCGGCATTGCGGTCCTTGATCATGCTCTGGACCTGTCTAACGAGCGCACGGCAGGCGGCACCGACAGCCTTGCTGGCTTCCTCCAGACTCTCCTGGTTCTTGCTCATGAAGCCGGCCTTTACACGGCTGGCAGCCACAAGCTGGGCGGTGGAGGCCGCAACATTGTTAGATGCAACGATGAGCTGCTCGGGGCTGTTGCGGTTGGAGAGAACACCGTCGGCAGTCTCGATAAGGGTGCTGGTGGAGTTGGCTACAGCCTTGGCGGCGGAAATGAGACCCTCGGTCCATCTGTTGTTCTTCTTGTAGAAGGCAGTGCGCGAAGACGAACCACGACCAGCCTGCACGATCTCCTGCTGTGTAGCGGTGGCCGCCTTGATGAGCTGAGAAATGGCGGTAGTAATGGCCATGGCGGCATCGAGGATGGAGTCGTGGACCTTGAGTTCGTAGGTAGTGTAGCCATCGCGAGGCTTGTTCTTGAGCTTCTGCAGACGGGCAACGGCAGCAGCAATGGCATCGGCGGCCTTGCTGAGTTCTTGATCGACGATGTCGCCAAGGTCACCCTTGTTGGCCAGCTGACCGAAGCCAGGGGCGAAGGTCTCGACAAGCTTGTTCAGCTTTTGCAGGTTGATCTGGACATCGTTGTTGCTGTTGATAACAACATCCGTCTTCTGAAGCGGATCCATGCCCTCAAGGCGGAAGCTCAACAGACCGCGGAAGAACTTGACTGTTGAATGAGCGGATGAACGGGCACCGTTCATCAAGGAGTCACCCTTCTTCTCGTCAGTAGCGAGACGAACGAGACCCTTGGTATTGCTGCACACATCCGCGATGGCACCAGCAAAGATGTTGGCGTTCTTGATCAGTTCCGCCGGGCTGCTGCTGGGACCGTCGGCAATGAAAACGTTGAAAGCGGTAGCAAACTCCGTGGCACTGGCAGACGCCTTTTCAATCTGCGAGAGGACATAGGAAGGCGAGGCGTTCTGGTTTCCGGCTGACATGGTGGAGTCGAGCTCATACATGGCATCATCAACACGCTGAACGCTAGCTTGCAGCACAGAGTCGATAATCTCGTTGACCTTCTCCAGCTGTGAGAGGATCAAAGCGTCGAGCTGGCCGTCAAGGGCAGAATCGGAGACACCCTGGTTGTTCCTGAGCTCGCTGAGCTCAATCAGTGTCTGGTCCATGCCGGCCTTGTATACCTCGAGCTCCTCCTCCTTCTCGCGAAGCAGCGCTTCAAGATCAGAGCTGCCATCCCGTAGCTTGGATTGGGCCTCCTCCAATGCTCGGGACTTGATACGCAAAGCTTCCTCTAGATCGGCCATCTCGCGGTTGTACTTGGAGAGCATTGTAGAAAGCTCGTTGCCCTTGCTGCGCTCGAGATTATCGGCGCGGTCCAAGGCCATACGCAGCTCCCTCTTGAGCTTCTCAACTTCATCCTTGTTCGAGCCTGACAGCCTGTCCTTTTCATGAAGGGCCCTATCGCGCTCTCTAATCATGTCTGCCAGCTCCAAGTTCTTGGTCTTGATCTCACGCTCAAGCTTCTCCCGCTTCTCAATCGCTTCCTGAGCCGAGGCCGCCTTGAGCTGCACCGACTTGAACTTTTGGAGGAGGTCGAGATGCTCGTGACGAAGCTGGGAGTAGAGCTTTGCAAGCGCTTCATACTTTGTCCTCCAAGTGTTGAGCTGTTCTTGTAAAGCACGAATCTGGTCATCCCTGCTGCCGATTTGCTGGCCATAGTTACCCTGGATCTGTTGCAACTCGCTTTCCAAAGCCTTGACCCTTTGATCGTACTGCTGAAGCATGAGCTGATCACGCTCGTACTGGGCACGGGCGTTCAGATTCTCCTGTTCAAGCTCAGCAAGGCGACCTTGAGTCTGCCATTGTGTCTGCTGGGCCATCAATTGCTCTTGCTCCCTTTGCTGTTGCTCCATCAACCGACGTTGTTGTTCTTCGAAATCACGTTGTGCTTGTAGTTGTGCTTGTTGCTGCGCTAGCAACGCCTGCTGCTGCTGTGCTTCCAAAACTCGCTGCTGCTCCTCGTATTCCCGGTTCTGCCTGTCAAGCTCGTTCTTCCAGAACTCGGCCATGTCATCGGGCTCTTCGGATTTCGGCGCTGGAGGCGGAGGTGTTGGGCGCTTTTCGATTTCGTGCTTTGGCCGAGCAGGCAAAGCAGGAGCGTTTTCGTCCTCGGCCAAAAGGTTGGGCGGATCTTGGGGAAGTTTGGGAATCGTGATCAAACTGGTGAGATATCGAAGGTTCGAGCACTCGTAGTAAAACTTAACCAGGCGGTAGTGCTGGGCATCGTATCTTCCGCGCAATGGCTCCAACGCATCGACGTCGCCAGTTGAGGAGTGCATGGCGCGAAGCATGCTAGTGATGAACTTGTAGATGCCATAGCTTTCGGTGACCAGAGGGACAAGGGCCGATATCCTGCACTCGTTGTTGCCGACGTTCCGGAAGTGAGAGAAGATAAGCTTCTGGAATTGGTCAATCTTGTCCTGAAGCGTCATGAGGTCTGTGATCGTTTCGTAGCCCTCGTTGGGATCGTTGATGGCCTTAAGACTGATGTATTCCTCGTACTCAAACGTGCCGTTGAACTCGGGGTGTTGTTGGTGGAATGAAAGCTTCGCCAGGAGGTAGTAGACGTATTCCTTGATCAGCGGCCCATATCCGCGCATGCCTTCGCCGCCCATGCCACGGTTCAGACTGTCGATCCAGCCGCGGTTGGCCATGGCCTCCCTCAACGTCGCCGGGTGGCCTTCCTGGAGGACCTTGTGAATGGTGATGAGGGCCTTGAAGGTCTGGACCTCGTCGGCCATGATGGGCTGGACCTTCATGCCTGCCCAGAAGGACTGGGAGGACTTGTGGTCCCAGGTGTATACGATACAGCTTCGAACATGCTTGCGTTTCGGGGCAGTCTCTTCGGCGCTGGTGGCCTTTCGGATATTAATGGCCAGTTCGGCTTCCGATCTGTGTAGCGGCAGCATCGGTCAGTATACATGCGCATTAGCTATTTGGGAGGTGAAATTGGACGGGCGTACTTGGTATGATCGAGACTTCTTATGGTCGCCATGTCGGACAGTCAACGGAATGCCGTGTCTTTGTAATGATTATATTAGGTGTAGATGGAGTTGGCAGTTGGCGAGTTATTAGGAATGCGACAACGACCCGTCCCGGCAGAGTGTTGGGCGCGCGGGTTTGGAGGTGTTTCAATTAAAGCACAAGAAGTGGTCCAAACTAAACAATAGGTCAGAGAAACTCGAGAATATCACGCGGCGACGGTCTTGTCGTCGGCGTCGTCGTCGTCGTCAGCCTTTCCACTTGGACCAACAGGAAAGTGAGCTATGACACCTGTGGTTGGAGAAGAAACAGGAGGTTCCAGGTTCTGGAAGGTCGCACGGCGTCCGGGTACAGCCACCTTCGGTCTCGCAGCTCCCACCATCTCGCCTTGGCAGATATGGCCAATGGAAATGCCGGAATGTTTTCGGGGTGGGGGGACATTGCAATGAAGACCCGATTGACGGCCCGCTAATTTAAGATTCATTAATGACCAAACCGTCATTTTGACTCCCTGAATGCCCCTTGCCCGCTGGCAGTCTGCTGTCAAATCTTCAAGGTCTTCTTCATGAATGTTGTTCGAGGCTCCTAGCTCGAATGTGCACATGGAGATGGGGCGTTGAAGATCTCCAGGACAGGCATCAACCTCTTGCGGATTTTGGTGGCTGCGTAGGTATCACTTCCCGACGGGATGTATCGAACTTGTGGCAGTCGCAACCGACACTACTGAATTTCCACTGTTTACCGCAGAGCCAGATCCAGTGGTGCATTCCATCTCTTCCTTTCAACCTCCAATTGAGTACAAACTCATCTCTGTTGGATGGTTCACCTTCCATCTTCGTTTGTTTGTAGCACCGCACCGCACCGCAAGAAGCTCTGTTCTCATTCTGTCATCCCGTCTGAAACCCCGCTGTGCTCGTCAGAGGTACCCACCTCAGGGACCCTATTTCCAGGTACCTCAACGTCAGCGTATTCTCGCCGGCGCAGAGCATGTACCATTGTACCTTCAGATAGAGTACACGAGATTGTACCTTGATGGGTAACTGACCTCTACGGAGGCATCTCTCACAAGGGCAGACCGCTGTGTGATCGCTACGCTTTATCTGGAGGCCCCGCACCTCACTCCAGGCACCTTACTGAACAGCGGGCCAGGAGCCACAAAGGCTGCCAGGACACGGGCATGTTGGTTGCGCAAGCTTGGCGCCATCCCGTCATCCACATCACACCCCTGCCCAGTCACTATCACGGGCTTCCCCAGTGTTCGTCACTTGACGTTCGGCAGCCTCATTCTCCCAAGTGCTGCATCGTTCGCATCACGGGCATCTGCTTTGTGATTTGCTTTATCCTCGACTTATCCTCCCATCAGCTCTCCTCGTTCTCTTCTTTTTTCCCTCCCACAACCATCAAACGAAACCGCCCTTTGAGCACCGTTCGAGGTCAACCTTACCGCGACCGCCAGTGCAACAGACGAAAGCATATCTACCCGACCCCGCCTTTCATCGCCTATCTCCCATAGTCCCCCATTTGACAGCCTACAACAAACACCTTTACGGTCAGGAGGGCCTCCGAAAGCCTAACTCCGCCAGTTAACCTCCTCGTCCATCGATTTACCTACAATACACAGTTATCATCCATCGATTTACCGATTTCAAGATGAACTTCCTTAGATCAACCGCTGCCACCCTCCTCGACAAGTACACGCCCGTTAGCCATACCTCGACATTCCGCAACACGGGGCAGATCACCCCAGAAGAGTTCGTGGCCGCCGGTGACTACCTCACCTTCAAGTTTCCGTCGTGGTCATGGGCCGATGCCGATTCACCAAGCAAGCGCCTCACATTTCTGCCAGCCGGAAAGCAGTTCCTCGTTACACGACATGTTCCCTGCCATCGACGCTTGAACAATGACTTTGCTGGCGATGCAGGTCACGAGGAGGCCCTCGTTGAGGGCAACAAGGGCGGTGACGACGATGACGGCTGGTTGCGGACTGGTAGCATGACCAGCTCACAGCCCCTTAGGGTACGAGAGGTTCGCAACATCGACGATGCCGGCAACGTTGGAGATAGGGAGGTTGTGGATGAGGATGACATTCCTGATATGGAAGATGACGATGACGACGAGGCCATCATCCGGGCCGAGGGCGATAACTCGAACAGGTGAGATAACATCCACACATCCCCAGCAGTTCATGAGCCAGCAGCAGTTGAACATATGCTAACCTGGCCGCCTCTTACCTACAGTGGAAAACGCACCTACACCCTCTACATCACCTACGCCAACGCCTACAAGTGCCCACGCATGTACATGTCGGGCTATCTCGCCAACGGGCAGCCACTTCCCCCTCATCTGATGATGGAGGACATCGTCGGCGACTACAAGGACAAGACCGTAACACTCGAAGACTTCCCCTTCTTCTCACACAGCGTCAAGATGGCCAGCGTGCACCCCTGCCGTCACGCCTCCGTCATGAAGACGTTGCTAGATCGGGCTGATGCCGCCCTCAAGCTCCGTCGTGAGAAGATGAAGGCCGGCCAGGGTTCCGGAAGCGAGCAAGGGATGGAAGGTCTCGTGGATGAGATCAACAAGTTGGATGTCAGCGGGGCACATGCGAACGCTGTTGAGGCCGCTCCCGGCGAAGATGCCGAGTGGGAGGAGGTTCCGCATGATGTCACCGACCAGGAAGTGGCTATTCGTGTGGATCAGTACCTGGTGGTGTTCCTGAAGGTTTGTTTACCCAGAACCCGCTGATTACGCATATGTGTTGCTTGTATGCTGACCTTTCCTCTTGTAGTTCATCGCCAGCGTCACTCCCGGCATCGAGCATGACTTCACCATGGGTGTCTAAGTCGGAAGACTGCCGACCACTTCGTGTCATGAACCTCGTTTTGACATTAACCGACGCTACCGGTAGCATCTTCTCTTTTTCTTGTTATGCTCTTTACTTCAGTGGGGGCAGGTTTTGGGTTACTTGGGTAATGGAGCATTATGGGACTTTTGGAGTTACTGCGGAATGGATAACTGAACTGGACTGGCGGTGATCAAGGAAGGAGGGACGACAACACTCAGTCATCAGAAGACAATAATGTTTTTATCAAGAAATACAATTTTTCATCTTTAGCATTATATCTATGCGTGACTCGGTACTATCCTTCAACAATCCCCAAGGCGGTTAACAACCGCCCGGCTAGCTCAATCGGTAGAGCGTGAGACTCTTAATCTCAAGGTTGTGGGTTCGACCCCCACGTCGGGCTCAATTCCCGATGTTCCTGAGTGATCAGGACAACATCATACTTTTTCGTGTTTTGTGCATCTTGTTCGACGATGAAATGCCCACTATTTTTTTCGCCAAAGATTGTTGGGTTGTGTGTTACCCGAGACTGCTTGTTCCTCTCCAAGACATGAACAGATCTGGCTATGATTCCACACGGCCCAGTTTTGTTCGCCACAACAGACAATAATAGCACTGGGGATCATAAACAGTAATTCGACCAATTGTAAACCCACTGAAACTGGTCCAAAGCCTGTGGTATCAACCTCACCATACCGACGGCTAGTGGTATCAAAATCTCCCCGCAACATATCGCCATCTTCTGCTGGGCGTCCCTACAACCTCTCTTCCTCCCCTTCTGCATTGTAGCTTCCCCACGCCAACCATGGCCAGATCACCTACTCCTCCCCGCTCTCTCCATCCTCCTCCTCCTCACTAACTTCCTCCCCCCTCTCCTTCGCCTCCCTCCTCAGCCTCTCCGCCCTAGCCCTCTTCTTCTCCAACAACTTTGCCAGCCTCTTCGCCGCGTTGAAAACCCCATTTGTGCCCGCACCGCACGCCGCGCAGCTCGGGTCCTTTCGGTACCGTTTCAGCGCACACCCTTCACAGAAATAATGCCCGCAGCGCGTGACGACGGGGGAATTCGAATAGGGTCCGCGGCAGATGATGCATGCGAAGGGGATGTTTTCCAGCATGGCTTCTTCCGCGGCGTCGGCGTCTTCGTCTTCGTCTGATGGCTTTTTGTTCATGCGCTTGTCGGCGCTGGAGACGACGGTGCCCTGGAGGTTCTTCTTGCCCTTGGTCACGTTCTCCCATTCCTTGTCGAGCTGCCAGCCGTGGGCGTAGTCTTCGCGGGCGTGCAGGAATTTGCAGTTATCGCCGAAGCCGCAGAAGCCGGTTTGTTTGTAGCTGTTGTTTTTGGGAAAACCCCGGTTAGCAAATTGTTAGGATAGAGAGAGAAGGGAAAGGGAAAGGGAGAGAGAGGAGGGGAAGACTCACTCTTTACAAACATCAGGCGCCATGTCCGTAATCGTAATCGTCCGAATATTGCTCGGCGCCTTGATCGGCCCAACCTTGCGATTTGGCGCGTTCGGGTTCTTTTGTATGTAACTCGCTTGGTTCGCCAGGCCCTTGTATGTCCCGTCCGGTTCTCGTTCCGGTCCTTGCGGCGCTTCATCCTCCCCGCTCTGCTTTTTGGTGTTTTTTATGTTCCTCGTCCTTCCTAGCAGACTTTTTGTTGAGAGGTCTTCCTTGTCCTCATCAAACCAGCTGCTGCCCTTCGTAGCATCCTGCTTCGTCGCGTCCAGCCTTAGCGCAGCGTCCCGGTCCGCTGAATAGATGGTGTTGCTGCGGATTTGTTCTTCTTTTGTAATTTCTCCGTTGGTACTGGAACCGGCATTATCTCGTGATGAGGCCATGACGGCTGCCGTGTGGTTCTTTTTCCGACGCTTGATGCGCTGGCCTGTCACCTCGTCCTCGGAGGACTCGAAGTCGGAGGAGTCATCGTCACTGTCTTTTGCTACAGGTGGCGGAGAGGCGGGACGTTTGCGCAGGTTTGCTTTGCCCTTTGCGCCGCGCTTCTTGAAGATTGCGACTGGGGCAATGGGGGCAGTCGAGGTTGCTGTCGTGGCTTCGGGTGCTGTTGGTGCTGCTGGTGATTGCTCGGTGTCTGCCATTGTGGAATTTCGTGATGGTAGGGTAAGAATGTCCGGTGCCGCGAATTCGACTAAGATCGAGAAGTGAGTGTTTGAAGCTGGTTGCTTGAGGCAGGCGAAAGAATTCCAGTGCCTGGTTAGATTGGAGAATTATTGGTGATTTGGACGAGGCGAGACGCGACGGGTAAAGTGGTGGAACGGTCTGATAAGATTGATAATCGCCAAATCGATACCAAGGATTATGTCATGGTCGCTGCAAGCTTCCAGACTGACACAGACGGCAGGCAGCTGACAAATGCTTGGCATGCACTTACCCCTTTTCTTTCAGCGACGCTCCAGCCAATCAGGGTAAGGTGTTAACAGCCTTTACACTCGAACTAACAACTTGAACCTCCCATGCGACCATGCCGGCGATACGCAAGATATGTCCGGTGGAAAAGAGTGAGTATCAATTGACATGATTGAGAAATGCGTAGGAAATGGGGGACAGAAGAAGACCCAAAGGCCCGAGAAACCAGCTTAAATACAGGATATATCCCGGCCTGCCATGGTTCCTGTCGACCCCTCTGGCCCTGGCTGCATTCCTTCCATTGTAAGTAGCTCCTCTTCCTCAGGAGGGGAGCTTCATGCTCGAAGAGAGCACCGATATTCCCATCAGCAGGGCACAAGAAGGTTAGGGGCTGTGCAGCTTGCGCTAGTGTCTTGTCAATACACTTTCCCTTTCCTTACGATTTTTATATTGATAAGCCAGCAACAAAGCAGTTCTCAGTATACAGCGATTTTACGTCTCATTGGGTCTCCATTTTGAACTTCTTCCATAAATTGACCTTAACTCAAGCTCACATGGTCACTTTATCCAGTTATCCTTCACCAGAAAATGCTGCTTCCAGGGTGTTACAATATGCTCAGTCTGAGGTTTAATTTAGATCATCACAAGCATGGACAGACAAGAGAACGAGATATTGCAAGTAGTTAAAGTATATTGCTATTAAATACTGCGTTCCTACTACCGCTCGCACCATCGTACTTGAACTTATTCCACTCATCTCCATCCCAATTCCCATCCGGCACCCTAACTGATCCATATCGCGTCAAGGCAAACGAAAGATGAAGCGGATGGATACTGGTGAGCAGCAAGCCAGACAAAACAGCAACGCAGACAATTTTCCTTTGAGGTCCTCCTCTTCCCGTCAATGTTTCCTTCCCTCCATCCATTTTCCTCCCATTGAGCGAAATGCCCAAGTCAACAGCTTCTGAACGAAAGAACGCCCAAAAACCCGACAACCTAAGCCAATCCAAAAAGGACTACATGAACAGATAAGAAAAGTTGAGGGAGCTGAAAAAAAGCCCGAGGTTGGTAGTACAAGGTGCAACGACTTGCGGAGACCCACGAGGATCACAAGAGGGTTCTCAATAGAAGCGCAGGGTAAAAACAAGTAAAAAAACAGTGGATGAAGTAATCATCAACGTCATGATAAATTCCGTAGCGTATGGCTGGTTTTATTCCGTGAAAAGTCCGATGCAAAAATGGTAGCTGAAGCGGTCGATGAGAAGAAATTTGTTGCCAAATGAAGTGGCAATCTGATTTTGTGATTTGGTAACGGTGTAACCCTTCAGTTAAAGACTATCCGACGAAACTGGAGTGTGCAAAACTGTTCATGCCGCAGATCGTAGGGTCCCAGCCCGTGATGGTGTAGTACTAGGTCCTCTAGAAGGTCCCCTCGAAGATCCTCGGTGCGTGTGGTGATGGGGTGTACGGTGATTGTGGCCACGCTTAGAGCCACTAGTCAAGGTGCCAACATCGTGTTTCCCTATGTAAATGTTAGCATACCATATCATCCTGATAGAAGACTGCGGGGCTCTGCTTACCATCACAACAAGCTCTGACGTTCTCAAGCCGGTCAGCTTCTCGATCTTGCTGTTCAATCATTTGTCTCACATCCTCTGCGCTGTCCTCGACCTCACTCTGTTCGTAGATGCCGTGGGGCGTGTCTCGACCAGAAACGCTCCTGCTGCCTCTTATGCTGCCAAATTTGCTCTCCTTCCAATAGCCACTGATCCGACTGAGAGTGCCGACCGAGGGCCGATTCTGGGCGCTTTGCCTGTTGGGCGTGAGAGTTGGAATGTTCATCGACATATCAAGGGCCGGCGAGTCGACACGGAGCGACCTGGAGTTGTAGGACGACAGCGAAGGTGCGCCACGGGAGCCACTTGGCGCCTGCCTCGAGTATTGAGGGTTGAAATCGTTGAGGTCATCTCTCGTGATATGCCCGGCAATCTCCTCGGCGTCTGCTTGGCCGTCTTCGTTGGTACGAAGGAGCAGATATGAGAGTGCGTTGAACCATGTCTCGTGCCGCTGGCCCGTCGTGCAGGTGAACTTGACAGTCCTGCCGGGTGAGATAATCACCAAACTCTTGCGGTGCAGACCAGGAGGCATAGGATTGTCATCCGCCACGACTCGTACAGCCTCGATGGGAACGCTCTTCGCTCTCAACTCGCTGCGACCCGCGGCTGAGGGGTCACGATCACTCCAATACAAGGTACGCGTGTAAGGATGGACCCAGAAGTACCGGCGATGCCGGTTGTCGGACATCTCTCCACGGCCAGCCTTGCGAGTATACTTCCACAGATATTCACCGATCATGGTCTGGGTAATAGCCTGGATCATGCGAGGGTCGGTACCCGCGCCAAAACCATGCGGATCGAAGCCTCCGTTTTGTTGCATCTGGAACCGCGTGTCCATCTCGGAAACAAAAGAGGAAACCGAGGACTTGCGGCTATGCTGCGTCAAGCGAGACGGTGAGTGAATACCAGAAGCCATAGTTCCATGTGCTGAACCAGTTCTGTCCATGGCACGGGGTGTGGGCGTGCCACGACCAGACACGTACGACATGGGAGACATAGGGCGTGTGTTGCCACTGGGAGTTCGTGGCCGCAGTCCCTGATTTTGATTCCTGAGCGCCGATGCCGAGAATAGCGGCGGCCCCATGAGACCAGTCATTGGTTGATTGCCGCTTGAGGAGCCGGTTCTGGCAGCTTCGATAGCTTCCTTGTGGTTGGGAGGTAGCGGAGGAACATCGGTTACAAAAGCCCTGCTACTAGCAGAGCTATTTGGTCTCCTAATGGTTGTTGTTCCTTCGATGAAAGCAGTACCGGTATCCGCCATCTTACCCTTTGAAGAGGCGATGCTTTCAGGGATCTCCTGGAAACTCCGGTTCCTTCTGATGGTAGAGAGAGTGCCGGTGCTCAAAGACGAGTCTGTCCTCTCTAGCTCACGAGTATGGGACTGGTGAGCCCCTGACATCAAAAGCATGTCGATAGCCTCCGAGGTCAAGGATGTTTGCACTTCCTGGTCCACAGTGGCCAATGGTGGCTTCTGCTGTGAATCGGGCTTTTGCTCGGGCATAGACCGTGGGAAGTCTCCCTCAACATGTGCGTCGGTTTCTGGGTCATTGGGTATAATGAAAGCATTTCTCTTCGGACTGCGATTCAGGGGAGGCTCGGTACCCAGTGACTGCCAGTTAGCAAAAGCCAATGGTGGAGAAAGGCTGATAGCAGGCTCCAGAGCGAGAGGCTCGATCTCTTGTGCCAGTATCGACGAAACTGAGAGGGCAGGCGGCAAAGCAGCGGGAATCTCTTCTGGTTCAACATCCACTAGCTGGATTTGAGAAATGGACATGGCAGGCGGTGGTGTCAGTGGCCTTTCCTCGGGCTCAATGTCATTCGTCTGTACCGTCGAGAGTGATAGCGCAGGCAGAGGAGCGATAGGTAGCTCAATTGGCTCGATATCGCTCGCCTGAACTGACGAAACGGAGAGCGGCGGCAAGGGAGTAGCTGGCAGCTCGACGGGCTGGATGTCACTCGCCTG